CAGAAGTCTGAGCTTCCAGACTCTAATGTAACTGTCCTGAGTACAGAGCAGCCCACTAGGAGTGCTGTCACTGCTGAAATTTGTCTGTGAAGTCTGTTTTTAATACACAGCCAGGCCTATTCTTGACACAGCTCCAGGGAGAGAAATGTTTGGGTGAGTCCTGTTCCCGTCCTGGGTGGGAGAAGAGATCAAGTGCCTTATGTCCTTTCTTAACTCTCCCAGCAGGAGAAGGGAACCAAGTTTGGTTTGAGTTGTTGCCTTTAAATACCTTTGCTGAAGCCTGTGTGCCAAGGAAGTTGAAGGGAGCGGTCATGTTAGGGACCTGCAGCTCTCTGACCTTACTCCTAGCAGGTTTTCAAGCCCTGGCTTGTGTTTGCTTTTCTGACCATTGAACCATGGCTTCTTCATGGGTCAAAACTGCTTAATGTTTTCCCCAGAGATCTCTTGACTACACTTGGCTGAAATCAAACAAATGAGCACTTTAGAAAAGTACATACAAAGTGTATTTCTCAGTTAAAATATGTGATCTCCTCGATCCTGTTTGATGCTTACAGCTTCAGAGCTGCTGTGGCGTGGATGTGGTTGCAGTTGGATGGCTGCTCTGCTGAGCTGTGTTTCTGGAAGCTGATGTAGCGCACTGGCTCAGCCACGCTGCAGGAGCTGACCCTGTCACTTGTCTTGCAGTGGGACACGGCGGGACAGGAGCGGTTTCGGACTATCACTTCCAGTTACTATAGAGGAGCTCACGGCATCATAGTTGTGTATGATGTTACAGATCAGGTATGTGTTAAACCTGTGCCTGCAGTTTCTCCAGGCTGAGGAGTACACTGGGAATTTAACAGCTGGGCACCTCTTGAGGGAGACAGTGACGGAGTTCTGCAGGCTGTGTTAAGGCTTATCAAGCTAAATGTATGTGTTTGCCTCTGGTTTGGCAGAAATAAAACACAGAAATAAAGAGAGCGGTGGGATTTGTGGCTCCTAAGCAATTGTATCTTAGGCTTAACCTAAAACTTGGTGAGTGGGTAACTGATTGTTCTGTGTGAATCCTCTCACCCTGCCTTTGGTAGCAGGAAATCTGAGTTACTGATGGAAGTTGTTGAAAGATTTCTGAATGTACTTGAACTGTGGTCTGCAGTAAAGACCGGCATTTGGAACAGAAAATTGTCAGCCTGTGTGCAAGATACAACTGAGCCAGTGTTTTCTCTGAAAGGATCTCTGAAGAACTGGTGCAGTTGTTTGAAGGGCACTTGGGAAGTATAGGGTTTCCTGAATTAATAAAAAAAGAACACTTGTGTTCAGTCACTAACTGGAGTATCAGTCCAGCATTTCTGGAGTCAGAGGTTGTTCCACCATATCTACAACAAAGTGGCTTGCATCTAACACCTGATGCTTAGAAAATATGTGGGATGCATCTGGTTTCAGCTGTGTGCCACATTTCTTATTTCTGCTACAAGAGGAGGAAGAAGAGCCCCAGATGGTAGAAGATGTAGAATATTCAATATATGGAGCAGGGAAAAATAATAGGAGGAAGAGTGCAGGAAGGGCTGATTGTGTAGGGCTGGGAACAGGACTGTATGGCCTCTGTGGTGACCGGCCTGTCCCGAGGCCATCAGGGGAGTTGGGCAGCATTAGAGAGTCCTTTCCCATGGTTGTGAATCACATGGATAAGTGCAGTGCTTCATACTCTTTCCTGCTCATGACCAAAGGGATAGTGCTGAACTTTCCCCTTCATCAAGGGCCTTGCTTACAGTTCTCTTATCTCGTAGGAGTCTTTCAATAATGTCAAGCAGTGGCTGCAGGAGATAGACCGCTATGCCAGTGAAAACGTCAACAAGTTGTTGGTGGGGAACAAGTGTGATCTGACCACAAAGAAAGTAGTAGACTATACAACAGCAAAGGTATGTCAGGACTTGTGTGTTTGCTTGGCTGAGCCCCTGCTCTGGTTTGTCATGCACAGAGGTTCCAGTGCATGGAGGTGTCCTGGTGCCACAAATGGGGGCAGGTTAATGACCTCCTGCCCTGCAACTCATCCTCAGACTGGAGATGGGGTGTGGGGCGGGATCCAGGAACTTGTGAGTTATCCTGTGGTGCTCCAGGAAATGAGGTGAGGTATGAACCTGTGTATGAGCTTACTGTTCACTGTTTCTCGATTTGCAGGAATTTGCAGATTCTCTTGGAATTCCGTTTTTGGAAACCAGTGCAAAGAATGCCACAAATGTAGAACAGTCTTTCATGACCATGGCTGCCGAGATTAAAAAACGAATGGGTCCGGGAGCGACAGCTGGTGGTGCAGAGAAGTCCAATGTTAAAATTCAGAGCACTCCAGTCAAGCAGTCTAGTGGAGGTTGCTGCTAAAACTTGCCTCCCCCCTTTTGTCTCACAACAATGAATTTGCAATCTGAACCCAAGTGAAAAAAAATTTGCCTGAATTGTACTGTATGTAGCTGCACTACAACAGATTCTTACCGTCTCCACAAAGGTCAGAGATTGTAAATGGTCAATACTGACTTTTTTTATTCCCTTGACTCAAGACAGCTAACTTCATTTTCAGAACTGTTTTAAACCTTTGTGTGCTGGTTTATAAACGTGTAATCCTTGTTGCTTTTCCTGATACCAGACTGTTTCCTGTGGTTGGTTAGGATGTATTTTTGTTTTGATGTTTCTATTGGCATGTTTAGATGTCAGGTTTAGTCTTCTGAAGATGAAGTTTAGCCATTTTGTATCAAACAGCACAACAGTGTCTGTCACTTTCCATGCATAAAATTTAGTAAGATATATGTAAGATCTGATTTGCTAGTTCCTTCTTGTAGAATTATAAATGGAGAGATCACACTATCTGATTAATAGTTTCTTCATACTCTGCATAATTTGTGGCTGCAGAATATTGTAATTTGTTGCACAATATGTAACAAAACTGAAGAAATGTTTAATAAATATTGTACTTATTGGAAGTAATATCAAACTGTATGGTGATAAATATTGTCTTAATTTGTATGGCTAAGGGGGAAATCAGGCTTGCATTGTGCACAAAACAACATATCTGTGTGTGCAGCCATGGCTCTCAGACCTTCCCTGCAACTCGCCCAGTGACTGTGGCCCCAAAGCCCGAGCTGTCATGGTGCTTAAGGCACGAGTGCTGTACCAGAAACACCCAGCCAAGGTTCATGAGGCATAATGCACTCTGAATGTACAACAGTTCCCTAACTTAGTCTTGGAACTTAATTTATTTCTCAAGGACTCTATGTAGGGAATTCCCATCAGCTTTGCATAGCAGGGGAGAGAACAGTATTTCCCTAACACGAATGATTTCAGCGAAACCTTGAGGAGGTATGACTTTCTACCAGTATATTATGTCTTTTCTATATACTGTTAATTCCATCCTCTTTTAATCAGTACCTTCTGACTTAGTGCAACAGCTTAGCTTCTGTTCCCTTCTGCAGCGAGGCACCAGGAGGGTGACATGGGGATAGCAAGGCCCCCACCATACTGTTGCTCAAAGTAGGCGCTTTCTCAAACAATTTGGAACTAACCAGCAGCCAAGAGGTTTTGGATGGTGTGTGATTCTTTGTACAGAGCTAATCAAATCATTAGTGCCTGATGTCTAGCTAAAAGCCACAGGAAAGCTAGCCTATAACACTTCCTATACATGTAAAATTGTTCAGCTTTATCTAAACTCAAATGTTCAGCCTATTCTGTAAATAGTCTCATGTTTGAAAGACCATGTAACATTCCCCTAGTAGTAAATACACCCTGTGATAGTAAAAATATAGCCTAGGTATGTTGTGAGGTATAAACTAAAACTGGTGCAAATATCCTCTGATTTTTTTTTGGGGGGGGGTGACTTTGGCTAACAGCTTTCTTCAACATAGTTGCATAAATCAACAGGCAATTGTAATACATAAAGTATTGTCATGGTTAAGTTGAACTCTTCCACTTGAGACCTTCACAATAAAGTGATGTGCTTTCTAGTAGAGATGTGCTTGTTGGTATAATTCATTATAAATGTGACCTGCTGCTCTCAGGAGCAGTGAGTGCTGCTGAGATCAGGAAGTGAAGCAGAAGGAGGTGTGTTGAGGGTAAAACATCTTCCCTGCAGAGAGTGCACAAATGAACTTCAATGTCAGATGCCTGCTACATACTATCCAAACCAATGTTAATATATACAGTAATAAAAGCATTGCAAAACCAGTTGGGCTACACCAGGTGTTTGGTGGTTCTTTGTTTCCCCCTCAGTCACCAATGGGTCACTGGGCTGGTGCTGTTCCGTGCTGAAGCCTGGGGTTGTCAGGCTGAGCTGTGTGATGAGCAGGCCTAAAATTCCTGGGAAAAGGCACTGTTGTTTCTTACCTGTGAGCTGAAATATTGAATATTTTTGCCACAATGGGCCAAAAAAATTTGTCCTTTAAGCCAAGGATGTAGAGGATGGGAGAATACCAACCCTCCCCCACAAACCCCAATGAATTATTTGCTGTAACTGCTTCAGTTAACTTCGCTTTCACCTTCTACTTGTGCAGAACAGAAACCTCTCTGCTCTGTTCACAGGAATGGGAGGAAATCATCGTGTTCTTGTGCAGAATACATCATCACCATTCAGGTTAAAGGTTAATTAAAGCCAAGTACCAACATTCTGTAACATTTTTTGGCCACTTACCTTATGCTGCTTCAGAGCTGCCCTTTTTCTGTTGCAGAAGGGGCGTGGAAACCCTTGATGAATGTTCTCAGGAGCGACTTGACTGCAGTAGCTGGAAGGGGGGAAGGCACAACTTCACCCCAGCAAACCAGCACGGCACTAACCCAGCTCCTGCCAGCAGCAGGTACCAGCAGGTTACACGGAACCTGGCTCCTCCCTGCCTGAACTCGCTTGTTGATTATTTTATTTGGATTCAGTATTAGGGCTTTTTGTGTTTATGAATAACAAAATGGAAAGTTAGGCTCTGCTTTAGCAGGGAGTGGTAATTATAAACAGGCCTTCAGTTTGCTCCCAAGAACCAGAAGGAGTTGCTTTTTCTTGGCTTCTTGCACCTATTTTTGACGAGCATAAACAAACCATGAGAACAGGGCTATTAAAATCACACGGCTTTACTTAGCGAGCGCACGGCACACTATGGATTGCTCAGTTAAAAAACTCTTCCCTGACGTTTTGCTAACACAGAACAGCCCACTTCAATTAAAAAATTAAAAAAAAAAAAAGGAAGCTATGTTAAAAAAACAAACTAGAAAAGGCCAACTGTACATTCCTTACACAACTCTGGACATCCCAGCACACCTGCTGTACGGAACACCTTTCTCAAGCCATGGCACAAACCCACACTGAAATCAGCCCTGTGGGCAACTGGACACAGATTTTGGCATCTCTGGTGAGGTGATGGAGGTGGTTTGGTGCTTGCTGCAATTCTTCTCAGCCCTCCTGAGATGGGCTAACGCAGCCTAGGTCTGACAGAGGCAGCACCTGAAATAAAATGAGGGGTTTGGTGCTGTGCTTTGCCTGCAGTCTGACAAAGAGAAACCCCCATGCTCTATTCCCCCATCTCACCCCTGCAGAGGGTACAGCTGGGTAGAGGCAGCATTCAAAAACCACAACAAACCAAACACTACTTCAGACACTGTTTTTGTCTTCTAAGAGGCTGGCACCCCTGAAACACTTGCCTCCAGTTTTTTTCAAGGGAGATGGTCAAGAAATAAGCAAACAAGTTTTCCAGCCCCTATACCTGAAATCACTTGCTTCCCTTTCCCACTATTAATACAGCAACCAGAATGTTTCTGAGAAAATACAAAACCAAAATGTATCCCTTCCTCATCTCCCCTGTGCTGTGCAAGGGATCTGGGGAGAGCAGGTGTCTGTGCTGGACTGCTGCCGTCCCCCAGTCCTGAGTGACAGGGACCTGCCTGCCCAGTCCCCGCGGAGCTGCCATCACTCCCCTCGTGCTCTTGGGTTTCATCAGCTGGTTCACCCGCACTGCTCTTTCCCTGACATGGTTAAACACGACAGGGCATCTATTTTGAGTCTCCCTGCTGCCTTCTCAGGCTTTCCAAACAGAATCAAACAACAATGGAGCCTGATGTTTGGTGTTTGCTAATTCGAGTGTTTCTCTTCCTGCACTTCCTCCCCTCTTTGCCCGCTGCAGCAAGGCTGCTTTGCCCCTGCTTACCCAGGGAGCAGCCGTGTGCTGCAGCCGCCTTGTCCTGCCCCACAGCAACCAGGATGGACTTGTACAGGTGCTCTGCGTGGCTTTCGAGCTCCTCCGACTGTTTGGCAATCAGATCCAGCGTGTCTTTCAGAGCTGGAAAGCAAAAAATGCCTGAATGGAGGTGACAGGAATGCCATAATTCAGTGTCTGTCAGAGCTGACAGTTCTGCTCGTCCACGCAGACTTTGGAAGGAAATCAAGTGTTAAAAATCAATAATGTGCTGTTCATCCCATCCCCATTGTGATGTAGCATTTGCAGGGGTGGGGACTGACCCAGGAGGCTCCAGGCTCATAATGAAGATGCAGAAATAGGGGGTCTTAGAGAAAACCTTTGGAACTGTCTGAGAAAGCCCATCCATAATGCAGCACTCGACCTCTAAAACCCCTTTGGTGACTGCAGCTACAGCCCAGCCCTTAGAAATCCCTTCTTCTAAATCACCAGAGCAACCACTCTTAAAACCCCTTTGGTGACTGCAGCTACAGCCCAGCCCTTAGAAATCCCTTCTTCTAAACCACCAGAGCAACCACAGCGTGTGCTGTGTTGCTAGCCAGGCTGGGCCAGGGATTTTAGGGGGGCAGATGCCTTGGCCAGCATCACTGTGTCCATGAGCAGCCCCACACAAGTGCTCCTCCTCACCTGGCGAATTTGATGCCATGCAGTCCAGGAGAGCTTCTCCCCTCTCCAGCACACTCTCAGTCAGACTCCGGTGGTCGGCCACATCCTTCCTGAACTCCTGGCACAGCAAGGACAAGAGCAGCGTTTCTTAGAAGGGTTTTTGAAACACACACCTGTGGCAGGTTGCCCAGGGTGCAGTTTCTGCCAAGCAGGTTCCTAGTGCTCCCAAATTTGGCTTGGCAAACCCAGTGCACCCTGGCCCATTCCAGTGATGCCTGGCTTCCCACTGCTTGCTGCCTGCAGCACAGCAGAGGGGAGGAAGCAGAGCAAGGGTGACACCCACCAGGTAGCGGTGCAGCGAGGCCAACACGCTCTCGGCATCCGGCGAGGGTGGCACCCAGCTGCCGGTGACATCCACCACGGTGTACAGCCAACGGATCAGCTCTTCCAGCTGGCAGCAAAACATCTGCTCAACAAAGCATAAAAAAGGGGTCACTGATCTATTTCTGCAACAGAGACAGCACAGGGACATGAAAAGCTGAGCCAGTGGTGTTTTGGAAAGCGCCTGCTCCCTGTTTTTACCTGACCCTAGCACACAAACATCCCTAAGCTTGGGAAACCAAGGGTCAACGGGAAAAAGGCAAAAATAAACTCCTGAACAGTTCCAGCACTCACTGTGTGGCAAGAATTGAGGGCCACCATGAAATGTCTGCACGGAGAGGTGCTGGAGGCTGGTAGCACTCAGGCTGAAGGAGAGGTTGGTCTCCACCACCTCCCAGCCCAGGAGATATCCTCATCCTCTTCACCAGAGCCATACAGCTAATTTGCATCTGCTTTCCCCAAGAGATTGTCTCGGTTCAGTTAAGTGCTTTCATTTATTTTTAAAGTGTCTCCGTAAGGGATTATTTTTGTAAGATGCTGCATGAAACCCAGGGGCCTCTGCTGGCACCAAAATCAGGCTCAAGACCTGTTCCTGCTCCTCAAGAGTTTGCCGTAAAGCAGTGCTTTTCTCTGTGGCATGACAAATACAGACAAGATGCTTTTAAATCAACAGAGTTATTTCCATACCAGAGGAGGGGATGAGTTTGCAGCTATGTGCATGATAGCGCTCCTGTGCAAACAGCCTAGCATCGTTTCCAAATTCGTCCCAGCACTGGGGTGGGAAGAAGATGGAGAGGAGGGTGGAAGCACAGTGCTGGGACGAATGTAATAATCCACAAACCAACCAGGAAAACTCTTCAGAGCTGCTGCAGCTCCTGCCTCCTGCCCGGTGCAGCAGCACTGCAGGACAAGTGGGTTGGGGGACCCAGCTGAGTGCCACATCTCCACCCAGCCTGGCCTGTGACACAGCCCCAGGGAAAGCAAGATGGGCTCCTGCTCCATCAGAAGGAATTATCTGCTCTGCTGAGCCCCCCTGCATAAATTACCACCAGCTGTCAGGCAGGACACATCATGCAGAACGGGAAGCTTTAATTAATCCTGCCATAAAGACAGGCACATTTTATGCGAGATCTTCCCAGAATAAAGTTTATTTCTGGTCTCAGCCTACCTTAACACACTGGATAAGGGACTCGCTCTGCTGGCTCTTCTTTGGATGCCCCTTGACCCGTGGTTCATTTAGGCACATCCCATCCGACGTGTCCCTGAGACCAGTAGGTAGATGAAGCCCGCGGGGATGATCCATGTGGATCCAGCCATTCGAGTCTGTGCTTTCCCAGCTGGGCTTTTGGGAGCTGCGGTGTTGCCACAGCCCAGCATAACCCTCAGTATTCCCTCTGTCACCCCCACCTCTCACTTCTTCAAAAGGAGCCAGCCTAGATGAAAGGGGCTCCTTGCTGGTGCTGTGATGTGGAAGGTTATGGTGGTCATGCCCAGGCGTCCTTATAGTTAAGGAAAGATTGGACAAAAACTGAGCCAGCCTTTCCAGCTCCTTCAGTCTTGGAGGCAGGGAAAGAAATTCTTCATCACTCTCCCACTTCTTCCTCAGGGGGAGCACTCCTGTGGTGGGTAAAAACCTACTGGTGCTTTTCACCTGCCCTGTGTAGTTTGGGCAGGGGCTTCCTCTGATATCCCAGCTTCTCCCATCGGCAGCAGGGCGCCCAGGTGAGCTTGGCTCAGATGATTCCACCCTTACATCCTTAGCAAAACCTCTGGAAAGGTGAGAGGAAGCACTGCTTGTAAATGATGCTTTGGCAATAGGTGAAGGTTCAAAGTATGAGACAGCTCCTGAGCAGCCTCTTTTTCCAGGCTTTGGGGTGGAGAATCTCTCTGAACAGGCCACGAACTCCCAAAGTCCATTTTCTCTGCTTCCCCGAGACTGCCCAGCTCGGCCGTAGATGCTGGTGGACCTGGACATGCCGTCAGGAGAAGCAGAAAAGCTGTCCAGACCTATTCCTGAGTCATGGAGGAAAGGCTCCGGTATCCTTCCCAGCTTGTACCTCGGCTTCAGTGGGTAAGCATAGTCCAGCAAGTCCTCGTATTCCTTGTTGGGGTTCCAGTGGGGTGAGCTGCGGTCCGGAGATGGGGGCAGTGAATCCGGAATGGCACAGGCCCAGTAATCGGCTTGGTAGGAGGAGATCTCCCGGATGCGCCCCACGGAGCTGCGGTAATCGAGCAGAGCGCCCGGGGGCTCCCGCCTTTGCAGGGCCCTGCCTTCCACCCCCCATCGGGAGCACAGGTCCTGGGCAGCCGTGGTGGCCGCAGAAGGGACATCCGTGCTGGCTGGCAAGCTTCCGGACGGCTCCTCGGAGGGGCCGTTTCCTTCGGAGGACAGAGCAGAGAGGCTGAGCACGGAGCGGCTCCGCAGGGCGCTCTCGGGGCTGGGCGGGGTCTGGGGCCGCAGGAGCTCTGGGGTGGAAGGACACGGGGACTGAGCTCCCAGACTCTGTCTCCGACGGCCAGCATGGGCATCGTGGCGGCTGCCAGCAAGGACGTTCTCCTCGGCAGAGCTGCGCCGGCTGGGAGGGCTGGACACCGGGTCCCCACCGCCCGATGCCTTCACCTGCTCAAGGATGGGATAGAAAAGGAAAGGAGAGAGAGAGAGAGACATGCATAAAATGAAGCACAGCATCCAGACAAAAGGGTCCTTTGTGCTGGGATATGGAGAGAAAAGCCCAGCCCCGGACCTGCCATGAGCTGAGGCTGGAAGTGAGACCCTGTTCCATCTGTGGGATGTCCGGCAGCTGCTCAGAGCAGGGCTTGCTTTTAAGGAAAGGCATCTCAAGGGCTTGGGAAGCTGCATGAGTCCTCTGGCAGCAAGAGGCTTATCTAAAGAGCACTGTCCTGAGCGAGTTCCCAGCTCTGCACCGGCAACATGGAATGGAAGCAACAGCATGGGTGCTGGAGCCCAAGCCCTTCCCCACCACACATCTTAGCCTGGGCAGGCGTGGGCACACTCTGTCTGGGAGAGATGGAAAGCCCTTGCTGGGAGAGCCCTGACAAACAAGTCCCCACCTCTCCTGAGACTTCCTGGTGGTGCAGCAACACCTGCAGGTACAAACCCTCTCACCTGCTGTTCTTCTGAGGAGAGGAACCAGTGGCCAACTCGACAAGGCACAGGGCCACCATCAGCAGCTCTATCCACTAACAACCCTTTCCCTGAGGAGTTCGCTCTTGGTTTGGGAAATCCGGGTGCAGATGCTGAAGACACTTCTGGGTGGCAGCTGGAGCCTCCGTGGGTAAGGTCAGCGGCCATGTGACTGTGTCTGCTCACTGCCACACCCTCTGTCCCTTGCAGGCTGGGCTTGGCTTCCTCTGTCCCTAAAAGCTGCTGCAGGCTCCCTGCCAGCTCCGGGAAGTCCATCTCTGTATCTGCGCTGTCCCACCTGGCATCGCCCTCGGCCTTCCTGCTCAGTGACTCCTCAGAAGGTGATTTTCCCACATCCACGGCCATCAGGACAGAGCTTCTTCCGCAGGACGATGCTGAGCCTCGGGCCCTCTGGAATACACAGCAATGGCATCTCAGCGTCCCCCCTTGTCTCCGTGCCAAGAAACTGGGATTGCCCAGTAACAACAAGCTGAAGCATGATCGGGGTGAGATCCCAGAATTCATAAAGGAGCATCTTGGTACACCAGGTGGGACAGTGGTAAGAGCAAACCCTCACATCCCAGCAGCATTTTCTGCTTCCGAGGAAACACACAGGGAAAATCGCATTCCAGCCCTGGCCATGCCAAGAACAAGCCTGGGTTTTATACCAGGCACCGGAGTCCTGCAGTGATGGCCAATGTCCCCAACACTTTGTGAACCATGAGGTCACTGGGCCCAAATGAGACATCATTAACCAGGACATGAAGCAGTTTCTGGCATGGCTGAGCCCTGAAGGCCACTGGGGTGGAAAGCTGAGTGTTTTTTAAAGATACAGACCCAAAACCTTGAAGTGGAAGCCGCCCAGAAGCAAGAAGCAGCTATAAAAAGTTGGAGAGGGAGGTAGGAGGCTGTAAAACTCAAACCTGGAGTTCAGCTCTGCAGCTTCTATCTCAATTCATGAAATTAACTCTTTGGGAAATTAATTAATGGAAATACTTGCACTGACTGGGCTTGAGTGAGGAGCTGCTGCTGGATAACCCGTGAGCCAATTGAAGGAGACCCAACACAGCCTCCTCCAGCAACTCCAGCCCAAACCAAGGTGCTGGCAGCAGGGAAATGTCAGCAGAGTGGTTCTGCTGGTACTGCCCCAGCTGGTGCCAGCAAAGAGACCAGCCAAGGGAGCACCAACAGCAAACTCAACTAAAATGAAATCTAAATTAAAAAAAAAAAAAAAAAGGTGAGGAAGAATTCCCAAACAATACTTGGAAGTGGGAAACAAGATGATCCTCCCTCCCTCCGCCAGCTCTTTTGTCACGGTCTCGTTTTATGATCCACCCCTCCCTCTGACAAGCGGGGTTTTCCCACGGGCACGGGAACAAAGAGCGGCGGGAGGACGCGCCGGGTCTCCCGGGGAGACCAAATCCCCAGAGCCGGCAGCTGATCCCGCACGGGGGACGAGCAGAGCCCCAGGCACAGCTGGACCCCTCAGGCCACTCCTGAAATTGCTGCCAAAGCCGACCCTACGCACAGCACGTTATCCGAAATGGATCGCACTGCTCTCTTCTGCCCTCACAAAGGTTGTATTTCCACACGAAGAGGTGGCGTTGCTGTAAAAAATGTAATCAATAAATCTGCCCTTGTTACGTGACTTAAAAATATATGTAGAAGAAAGAAAAGATAACAGAGCATCCAAGCAGCCTCTAAAGTTTAAAATGTGCTGTAACCAAAAGTCAGCCTCAGGACAGCTTTATTTTAAAGATGCCATGTTAAATTCAAAGGGATTTGAACATCGTTACCTGCACCAGGTTTGCTGGTTTGGGTCAGGTGTCACCCCAGTAAAAGCAACTGTAAAAAATATTGAAGTTTGACCTTAAATCTGAAAATCATGCTTTAAGCAACATCAAACAAAACTTACAGGTCATGACCCGTCTGTTATTTTCCTGACTGTGTGGAGGAGGACAAATATTCTGAAGTTAAGATCATTTGTTATCTTACAGAGGCAGCATGCAGTGATTTACATTTCCACGATGCCATTGGTCTTTAAAAAAAGAGCAAGTGCTGGTTCACAGGTTCATTAAATCTCCAGAAGCTAATTGGATGCTAAAGAGAAACCAGGAAACCCGCCAATACACAGGAGTGAGAGTAAATCTGCTTACTGCAGGATTTGTAAGGGTATTTAAAGGGACACCAGAGATCTCACTGCGCTTTCCAAAGTCTCTAATTCAGGCAGCTGATTTCAATTAACTTCAGAGGCAGCTGAAGTTATATCCAAACCACACCCAGACACAAACGAGACGGGGATGTCGCACACACCCCACACACAGAACAATCGGGCAAAAAGTCATATTTAACAACAAAGTGAGAACACTACTGCCACTAAGTGCAACTCCCAGCTACACGAGCGTCTAGAAAACGAGCTTTCTCACCATCTTCCAACACACCCAAAAAAATTCAGAGGTCAGGTTGCCAGTGGCAGCGACGCATCCAGAATAACTGGCGACAGGAAGAAGCAATCCCAAATCCTCGGGCAGGACTGAGGAGGGGTGTAAGACCACAGCTATAGGCACGGTGGAAACTTTCCACTGGCCTCAAAAGCACGGGAAAACAGCCCAAACGCCCAAGCCCTCAATTGTCTCACAGAAATGATACCCGTGGCAGTGTTTTCAGATAACAGAAGACAGCGGGGCTACTTCATTCATTTCAAAGGGAAGGTCCGCGGGGATGTCTCCTGAAAAGCGATCCCTGAGCTTTTTCACGCCGCCAGAAGGGAGCCAGGCCGCACAGAGGCCGGCGGACAAGGAGGGCTCTATCCAGGGAGCGGCCCCATCCCCCGCGGGGCTCGCCTGGATGATGGAATGCACTGAGAGCAGCGGATGCTGACGGAATTTCCGTCTCCCGCCAGCTCCGCTGTGGCTGGGGAGCATTTCTGGGGTTGTTTTGGGGAAAAACCCACACCGCTCTCGCCCCTCAGGCCTGCGGCACTCTGAGGGTTGCTATTTTCTGCTCCCCTCCTTGCCCGCTTTCTGGCCGCCGCTGGTAAAAAAAACGGCAATTAACCAAACAGACAAGAAGCAAAGGCAAAGAGGCCGAAGAGGCGCCGCACCCGGGGGTACCGGGATTCCAAAGGGAACGTGGCTCGGGACCCCCGGGATCCCCCCCGGGGCCCCCCTCACGCCGCGCCCCGGCCCTCACTCACCGAGCGCCGGCCCGGCCCCGCCCCGCCCCCTCCGCGCCGGCAGCCAATGGCAGCGCCGGGTGCGTCAGCACGTGCGTACCCGCCGCCCGGCAGCCAATGGGAACGGAGCTCGAGGGCAGCCCCGTCCCGCGGCCGGCGCTGACCCCGGCGCGGGAAGACCGGCGGCGACACGAGCCGGCCCCGCCCCCTGGCCCGCGCCCGCCCCTCACGGCCCGGCCCGGGCCCCACGGGACCCCGGGAACGCGAGGAGCGTCCCGGGACGCCCTTGAGGAGCTTGTGTAACAACAGGGTGTTTCCTTGTACCCCCGTATTGACCTTCCCGAGGCGGAGCTGTGCCCTGGCAGCGTCACCGCGCTGCAAACCGACTGAAACGGGCCCTGCGGGAGCGCCACGGCCAAGGGATCCCGGTGTCCTCCGGGCACAGCTGCGGGATGCGGTGCCGGTGCAAGACCTCGCCTAGGGGTGATCCCTGTGGGATGCCGGCCATGCCCTGCCCTCGGGGCAGCTTTCTGGGAAGATCCCCAAGCCACGCTTTAAAGCAGGCTGCTCTGGGCTGTGTGCCTGGCCAGAGCCTTCCTTGGTGGCTGGAGTGGGCACATCCTGACAAGTTCCCATATCACGCAGAAATACAAACCTTTCCTTGTTGCTGTCCATTGGCTGATTCTGGTTTTTGTCCATGTCGCCTGCTCCTGGAGATTATTTCTTAGCTAATGCTGAGATTTTGTAGAGGTAAGTGTCTGATAAAGCACTTTATGGGACAATATTGTTCCCAGCTTTAGGCCAGGAAGGACCAAAGAGACATCCTGGATTTGCTTATCAGTTTGGCAGCAGGGTGAGGGGAACAGCACAGGTATCCCAAGTCCCTGGCTAGTGCTCTGGTCCTGACCACTCTCCTTGGCCCTGCAGCCTGCTCCAGGCCTGCCATCCCAGTGGTATGGTCCAGATTCCCTGGCTAGGAACGGGTTTATTCTGCTGCACCCAGTGCAGCCAGCCCCATTTACATCCGGGAGCTGGCCCATTTACATTTTTCTCCCTAGAGAAACACAGTGGGAATATCTTTTCCAGGGCTGCTTCAAGAAGCGGAGCTGTAAGTCTGCAGTAGAACACGGTGGGTGCTCTCAGAACTCACAGCCAGGACAAATCCAGGATCATCTCTGTTCCTGTGCAGTATTTCTGTATTGGGGGTTTCTTTGATGAATATTACATCGAGCCTTCCGGCAGGCTGCACATCCCTCTGCCCCGGATGCACACATTCTAGAGTTGCCTTTTTATTGGCGTTCACACGGGCAAAGCCCTTGTGAAAGAAAATCCCTTTAAAATGTTGTTTATTGCTCGTTCTCCAGGGAGCCGCTTGCCTGCCAGTAGAGGCCGTGCTGATTTCAGGCCTCTGAGTGGAAAGGCGGAAGCAAACACGGATGGCTCATGATTCATCCCCAGGCTGGGCTGTTTTTAGCCGGTTTAAATTACTCGGAGCTGCCAGGCATTGTTCTGGGAGCTGAATAGCACCCGGCTGCGGCCCCAGCCCGGCAGGAAAGGTCTGTGTCCTGTTCCACCCCCGATCAAACGAGTGCCAGGATGTCTGCAGGAACTGCCAAAGCGCCGAGAAACCTTTCCCCTCCCCTTGGGCTCGGGCTGAGTGGGTGTCAGCAAACAAAGGGGGAATCAGCTGGTGATCTAAAGGAGAGGTTATCAAAGAAATTCAGGGGGACAATACTGATTTTCTTCTGCTGGCACCTGGCTTTGTTAGGAACTTTGCTGAAGAGAAACTGGCTTATTTGATCTATAATACAGGGTCAACCCAGCCAAACTCCCACCCAAACTCACTCAAGGCTGGCAAAGAATAACAAGAATATTTTCTTGCTGATTTGAGACCTCAAGATTCTTTCAAACTTAGGTTTTTCCAGCAAAGACAATGGATTCCTCTGCACCTGTAGATGCAACGATTCAGCAGTAATCTCCATATCTATGACAGGAACTAGACCTTCCTTGTGATGATCAGATTTGAAAGCAGTGTACTTCTGATATATGAGAAGTTACCTTTGTAGTGAGAATATGCCTGTTTTATGCACAGAACTGGATCCATCCTGAACACCAGCTGTTTGTATTCAGAGTTTTAATATGCCCCTGACTGCAGTGACCTGCAGTTATCCAGCATCTTTGGCACTTCAGTTTGTTACTTCTTTCTACCCTGAAGGGTTTCAAGCTACAAGCCAGACAGTCAGCTCTCTAGGATGAAACCTGAAGCCTGGAGGTGCACCATATGTTCTTGCATAGCATCTGCACTATCTTCAGCATCAAATTTCAGTCTCGCAATGCAAATGTTTGGGATGGATGAGACGTCAGCAAATGCAGGGCTTGGGCCTAACCTATCTGTTCCCTGACTGATAACAATATTAATTAGTCTTTGTACAAACTGCTCAGGACTCTGTTTGGGCTGCCTAACCCTCCTTTGAAAGGTGTTTGCAGGTGTCTGTCCTCCTCTTCTCAAGGCTTGTTAGCCTTTTCCTTTCCCCCGAGGTCAGGATTTCCACATCTTGGACCTTTCTCTCTGTTCTCATCTTCATCCTTTGCACCACATTTCTTTGAAGCTCACCACTGATCCAAAGCTCCAGCATGGGCTTGTGTGTACTTAGGCAGAGCCAGTGTGGTAGTCCAGGCTGTGATCCTGTTACACACCCTGGAACAGGATCTGCCTTATTCACAGCACAGGACTCCTGCTTCTGACTGCCTGTAACTTCCTGATCCTGCTCCTTCACCTACTGTTTTCCACCAGCAGAAGTGCAGGTAATTACTCCTATCTAGATAATTCTTTCCAGCCTCTATATTTCCCAGACTCTCTCTCAATTTTTCTGATGTTGCTATGAATTTCAGCCCCGCAGTTTTCCATTGTCCCAGACCTTCTTCTCCAGCTAAGGCCTGCATATTTTCTCTGTTCTGACATTTTATGTCACTAATCAGTTACTTATGGCCCTGGAACTACAGTAGGCTCCCAAGGAATCCAGTCATTCAGCTGGACAGCTGCTCTGGTGATGCCTCCATAAGCAGGTTCAAGGTCAGCCATGTTGCTTTAACTTCTTTAAAAAGTCTCTTATGAGACTTGCCTGAAGCCTACACACTTCCCATTGCTCCTCCAGACCATCACTGCACTATTACTGAATATTTCCTAATAAAGGTAGCCACCGCTTTTTCTTCCTGACTTTGGAGAACCACCTGAAAATACAACTTAAGCACACCTGTGAAATATGTAAAGCAGAATTAAGGAAGAACAGAGGGAAAACTGGAGTGACAAGTATTTTAACGTCAGCATGGACGTGCTGAGTTGGGTGTGTTGTCCAGTGCTAGCAGCTGGGCTATTTGAGTCCTTTTGCCACTTGTTTGCACAGCTGGACCGAGTGGCAGGATTTATTAGCTCAGGGAAAAGGTCAAACACAGAAACTGCACTTCTCCTTTCTGGCCACACGATGTGCCCATCACACCACGAACCCAGCCTGGCCAGCATGCCAGCAATTGCAGACGTAGCCACAAAGGCAGGGGGTTCCAGGGGTTTGTATTCCCTCACAGCACCCCCTTACCTCTGGCCAGGCCCCCTAAAACACTCACACAGCTGCAGACCAGGGCCAGGTGCCGTGGAGCAGGAGGTGGTGGATGGGATGGAGTTGGTGTGGTCCGGATGCTCTGCCTTTGAGGAAGGTGACAAGCTGCTGTGAAAGAAATTGGAGCCAAGTGGTCAAGAGGCAGTGGCAACTCTTCATCAATGTGAATTATAATGGGCAGTGAATAATTGGAATTAAGTTTACTTACTAAATGTGAGATTTACTTCTGCTTTTGTTGGGAAAATGTGAGCAAGTTCTTTCTCATTCTAACTGCTTGGGTGTCTTGGGCCCCTGTCATTTGTATGTTCTCTGAGCAGAACCAAGAAGCTCTTCAAAACTAGAGATGGCATCTGCAGGAACCAGTCATCAGCACAGAGATTTGTAAAAGAAATATTTGGATTAGCACAGATTAAAATCTTTTTCTGTAAGTGCCAGAAGAAATAGAACTGGGGGACTAAGAATGGTTTGAATTTATAACAAATTACACCAGAAAAAAAGTTTTGGACTGATAACCACTGGACACACAACTCGCTTGAGGGAGAGCCTCCTCCCTGACAGCAGAGAATAGACATCTCCCATTTGCCTCCCTTGCAGCCAGGCAGGAAGAGAGACTGCAGCAAAGGATCATCACAAAACAACTATTGTTTGTTAAGGATTACTAAACAACTGCCCCAAAACTGGGATGTTTAGTGAAGAATTCACAGGCATCACCCCTTGTGATGTATGTTGCACACAAGTGATTGGGGCTGGACAGAACTTGCTGCATGACAGTGAATGAGATCTGTAAGAGAACCAGTGTGGGTGGCTACAATGAGCATAAAATGTAAATAAATGCCACAGTCTCCTTCTGTAATATCTCCTACAATGATTCAAAGAGACTTTAATGCTTATAATGGGGGCGTAGGAGAGATCTGACTTCCAACAAACCTACACATTTTAAAGGTGACCAGTTAGTGCAGCTGTACCACACAACCTGTGTAAATCAAACCATTCATTTCAGGGCAGAATAAATGATATTGTCTTCTGTTTAACTCACAAGGCACTTTCCTATAATTCTATCTACCTTAATCAGACAAACTGGGGATTAAAAAAAAAGGACTAATCTGCTCGTTAGCCATAATTGCATTTCCTCTGCAAATATTAAGTTAGAACAATAGCAGTGGCTTTTGTAATAAATTTATTTTTAAATGCTTTTCATATGAACAAAAGAAAGGTGTGTTGCCTGCCGAGAGCTTAGAAGAAAGAAGTGAGGAGCACTTTCTCAAAAAATGCTTCAAAAAACCCCCAAAAAATTAAGAAGTAGTAAAGCAGGTGGCCAGATTTGTAGGTGGTTGTAGAAAAAAAACAGAATAAAATCAATAAACTTTAAGTAGAACTTCTCCAACTTTTATCTCTTTGTTGAAATATTATAAGAAACCATCGCTTTATCCATAATAATGCTTAACAAGGGCTAATAATGTCTGGCTGGAGGCACCTGGGACTCAGTCTAAGCCTTAGCTCAGCTCTCATTAAAGACAAGCAATCATTCCACCCTTTCCATGGTCTCACAAGGCTCCATGGGTTTCATATGGCAAATCATTATGGCTCTGACAGCCACCCAGGAAGACTTCAGAAAACCTGTATGGCAAAGCTGACATCTGAATGGCTCTAGGCTCTGGTCCCAGAGGACCAGAAGTGAAATAGTTCAGCTAAGAAGTGAGAAGCCAAAGATACAACCATGGAGTCAGATAGGCTTTTTGGAAACCACCACATTTTGTAAGATTTACATTCCAGGGCATAACACCAGTCACAATTTGTAAATCATAAATGGGCAGGTCCTTCAAATTCTACTTCTTTCTTCTGGTGCTTGCAATTCTTGTGAATTTTGCCCCCTTGTTTATTTGTTCTGAGAGTTTAATGCTTGAAGCTAACCCACCTACACTTACATAGTAGATGTTTTTCCCTGGATTTGTAATGTTATGTGTGTGCATCTCAGGACAGACTCCACCCTTTGGCGATATGTAAGTTTTTAATAGAAAAGCTGTATCGAACCCACTTAGATGGCAAACCCAGGCCCTCAATTCTGAGACCAGCACATTGCTTGGATGGCTATGTGGCAAATCCAAAACTATCCTGAATTTACCAGCCTGGCTGCCTATGGAAAAGCATTTCCTAATGATTACTCCCACTCTTCAATCCTTCTCCAAGGAACAAAGTCCATTAGCTTGGCCGAAGGGCAGCAGGTGTGTCTGTCAGCCCTTCTACCCCACCACTGCATAGCTGCTAATCCAGGCTCTCCCAAAGACCCTTTATAGCCCAGTAGCTGTGCAGAGGGCTTGGAGAAATGCCAGCAGGGAAAGGGTTAAATGCTGACAATCAGTGACACCAGCATGCCAACAAAGAGCAGGGTCTGGGAAAGTGGAATCGAACACCCAACTGCACAATTCTCATGCAGGGGCATTTCCAAAGGAGTCTTTCCTCAGGTGACACAGCCTGATCCAGCAGGATGTCCCACTGCCTCTGCAAGGCTGATCCAACTGAAAAGCCAGGTCTTCTCCAAACAAAGATGGAAACATGAATTCTCTTTGGGGTGATTTTTATTTTAGATTGAGAAGCTACACAAAGAGAGAACAAATATACATTTCAATGAGAGAAGGGAAAAAGAGAATATCCCATTGTGTCACCCTCCTAATACAACAAACCATCCCAGCCAGAGCCACAGGACTGGTTGCTCCCCAGGTAGGCAGGGAGTTCTTACTGCAAAGGTTACAGCACACAACAAACATGTGTAACAGCTGCTCCAGGGTCACACACCCCCAGACACAGCAGGATGGTCTGTTCTTTGCATATGTGCACCTACATGTTCTTGGCAGACAGTGGAAAGGTGATAGAGAGTCACAGGGGTGAAACCCACAGCTTTGAAAGAGGAACAGCTACTGATGGGCACAAGGGTCAACACACCCACATGGCACAAACAACTCTTCAATGGAGTGGTTACTCTAAGCACAAGGCAGATACATTTGTATCAGTGATACTGGATTGTATTGGAGTGGATGGCAGTGAATTTCAGAGTTCATCTTTCTTTTTATTAAAGTAATTAAGCAAACGGTTTAGCATATAAAAATACAATAATACTCCCTCCTAATTAGAGCAATTTGTGTTCAGGTAGAAATAAAAGCACACACACGCACATACACACCTCAGGATTGCTGCCAGAGAGCTCACAGGATAAAGAAAAGAAAACCATTTTCCTTGTCTCACACCAGGACATCACATTCTCCCTCCTGTCTCCAGGAATAATGGAGTCTTTCAGCTTTGGTGCATAGTTATACTTGAAAGCCAAACAGCAACTTGGAATTTGTCCTGAAGGGAACCAGGACAAGGCACCTTTAAGGATAATAAGGCAGAATGGGACTCCTCATGTGCAGGGGCAGCCCTGCTATCCCTGAATCTGAGGGATTAATCAAAATCTAATCAAAGCCTTCACCCTCACAAAGTGTGAGTGAGTCAGTCTCAGTTTGCTGTAACCAAGAAGCAGTTCAGGAGCAGAGGTTTGCTCAGCTATTTGCAGTGCTACGCATGCTCTCCATCCCACACAGCATGACCTTACAAGAGTGTAGCCAGGATAGTAACTGAGGAAGTCTACATAAGACTGTGTCCTTAAAAGAATGGAATTCTCATGGATGGCAAACACATCACCTCCACACTGGCCTACAGGGAAGAGAAGTCAACAGAGCATCTGTTGTGGAGCAGAGCAGGGAAGCAGCGACAGCTGGGCCACCTTGGTCACAATTATTTGACTAATTAAGTGTAAAATGTCATTAAGGTATTGCCTTAATGAAGCAGGGTTTGTTCAGTCAGACACTCTCCAAAGCTGAAAATATGTCTTTTTCCCCTCCCAACAGGACAGGAAACAGTCCATGTCCTCAGATGGGGCCAGAATATCTTTAAGTTTGATCTATGTACTATAGGAGCCTGATCCTGCTGGGATCTGGGCAGACTCCAAGGAGCACAACAGACTCTGCAGGAGGGATATAGAGAAGGCAAACTGAACAAAACATGAGGAAGTTTCCTTCTGCATCAACACCGACCACTAGGAAAACACTTTTTTACTAGAGGCTCCACATCATAAGAATACTCTGAGCATGTAAAATGCCTTTAGTTATAGTCAAGAAAGATTGCTTTAAAAACATTGCTTTACTCCTGCTTTGTTGAGCATGATCGTCCTAAAGGGCCCAGACCATTCCTCTATGCTGCTGCAAAAGTATCTCCATCAGAAATCCAGAAACCACAGAAAGCTCAGGAAATTACATCAATGCACATCAGTGAAGGCCCTGGCCTGTCCTTTTTGCAGCATTCCTTCTGGCTCTAAAAAAAGCTACAATTGAAACCACTTAATATCTAGAGTATTTTTTATGTGGGAATGTAATCTGGGGGATTCAGATATTGTAAACAATTCCTTGAGAGAAGAGTTCCCTCAGTAATTTCCTTGTGCAACATGTAACTGCAATTAAGTTGCACGCACATGCCATATGCAGTTTAGTTTCAATTACTAAACACATGCTTGGCAAGGAAGAGCATTACTTTCTCAGTGTTGTTTTACCAGAAGGAGCAAGTGAAAGCTATCCTAAGGAACATCTAATGCTAAATTTCTTGGTCTCTGTGGCTCAAAACCACACCGTTAACTTTGCATTACAACAGAGTTGCCTCAAAATCCATTTCCTCATGCCGGTTCCTGTTGGTAGCCCTGCTTGCCTTGCAAGCAACATCTGTGGCCTTGGGAGAGAAGTATAAATGTTTCTTGAGCAGGATTTTACAAAAGAGCTGCTGGCCAGCTGAAATGTCCACAGTCCTCACCTCCTGCTGGCACCGAGATCGGAGGTTAAATCCAAATGAGATTTCATAACTGTTAAGGATGATGCATCTGCTGACACTGATACAGAATTTGATAAGTAACCACCCTGTGAAATCATGAAGATTTTTTTTTCCTCTCCTATTAAAATCTTGGTATGGAATCAAATATATTTATAAACCCTCAGATGTGGATTCTTTTAATGAGGTGATAGTTGTTAGCTAACAATGAACCTGGCTTTGGGACTCAGAGTCTGCTCCTAGCTGGCTTGGCAACTCTTCATGTGACTCAGGAGAGAGCTCTTTCACCTTTTCCTGTATTCATTCACTTGTGCAGATGTGAACTGATGCCTGCTGGTCACAAATGCCTGTAAAGACCCCATGCAGAGAATGAATTCTGTGTTAACATTAACTTCCCAAGACAGTGCTCAGATGTGAAGACCTACGTGAGCCAAATAAGGCTCTTGATCACTTATTGTCAGAGTTAAAATATTCAGGGGCAACTGTCTCAATGTCTTGCCCAAAGTCTGGAAAAAGTTTTAAATCATTTGTCAAATGTTTCCTTTTCCCTCCTGCCAGAAAACTGAAGCAGCAAGTGAGCATGGCTTTCATCAATATGCTCCCATAGATAACAAGTTGGTCTTTGTCCTTGGAGAATAATGGTCTCCATGCATTTATTTGAGGAGCATTTGTCCTAGCTATCCTGCAAGCAGGAATGTGGGTCAATCCCTGATCCAGAACTGTACTGCTGTTCCTCTGGTCATGGCCAGCAGCCAGCAGCAGCTTATCAGAGCTCCATGCTGGCCCTCTGCATGCTGCCTTGTTGCATTTCAGAAACTTCAGCACTCCTGCCTCTCCCTGCAAATCCCGCCCAAGCAGCAGGCAGGGATTTGCATTGTCTCTGCTATGTGCCAGATAAATGCCTGCAGCCTCTTTGATCCTATCCGTATCAAAATGCCAAGGAAAAGATGCTTCTTCATCATCCTCTTGCTTACCCTGTGCCTTTGTCACCCATACTGACAACAAGACAACTTGTTCTTTGAGTTGAAAAGCTCTTTCTCCCACTGAAACTAGTCAGGAACTAAGCTGTCAAGACTCCCAATTTAGATGTTGAATCCATGGTGATGTCTGTTAATTTACCTGAGCCTAAGCTTTCATGGCACGTCAAGTGGAGATGGAAGGAGGCAGATAGAACAGGGCACTGTGTTGTCCTTGACTAAGTCACATCCCTTTTCTGAACTGCAGCTCACACTGACACCAGCTCCCCTGCTCCCCCCGAATTTGCCCAGCAAATGCATCCACCTGATCTCTTTTCCATCAGTCATTCCTCCTCTAGCATAATGCAACTCCACATACTTTGATTATTTGATTTCTTTCAAATTTTTGAAAAGCTCATTATTCTTCAAGATTTACTGCTCTGTGTCTTAAGAGTGCAACTCACTATCTTCCACACTATGGCCTGTGAGAGATGTAAATATCTGTAAACATAATTTACAGAAAAGGAAACACAGGTATAGGATTTATGCAACCTGCCTAATTCTGTGCTCTTCATCTGTCACCAGATCAGTCATTACAGGCAGCTCTGTCATTATGAACTGCCAAGGCTCTGTTAAGATCAGTGAAGATGTAACAATTTTTCTTTGGTGAGAGTTTATATTTTGGTCTTTTGACTTGGTACCTGAGGCCCACTGCTTACTGCCTGTGGGAGGGTCAGGATTAAAAATTATCACTTCCAACAGGATGATGCTTTACAGTGGCTGCAGAAATGCTCTGTGTTAGCAGAGGACCAGAGTGAAGATTTAGCCCAGACTGTTGACCAATGCTGCAAATCTTTGCAGAAGAGGTGGTGATTTTGTCCCTTTTGCAAGCTCTTGAGGACACAACCTACAAAATATGGCTGGGTGGTCAGTCACAGAGATGACAGGGACTTTGACTTGACTGAAAGAGGAACTGCATAAACACCTCAGATTTCATTGTTCTTGCTGCAAAATAAGGAGGAACCACAGGAGAATAGGAATGGTGACACTGGGTCAGGTCCATGTCTGGCACCAGTCACAGCAAATGTCCAGGGAAGAGTATGGGAACAGAGCAAGCACCAGGAAAGCCTGCCCCTCACAGCCTCCCCCAGTCTCTCACCACCTCAGGGCCACTGCCTCCTCAGGGCTGCCCAGGAAAGACAAAGCAGAGACTGTTTCACCAGCCTTTGGCTGGCTCCACATCTCTGTTATAGCTGAGGGACACAGTCCTGTTTGTCACATCCTGGCAGGGGCAGCCCTGGGATTGGCTCTAGTCTGTTCTCAACACAAAAGCCATCCTGATTGCAAGAGACATCCCCAGAAGGGGTTGAAGTCCTTTGCCATTACCCAGGCTTGTAGAGCAATTACCAACACCAAGACTCAGCTAAAGCTCAGTTCTTAGGAATACAAGCAGCCTTAAAATATCCTACTTAAAATATCCTACAAGCAGTCAAGTCCTGGCATCTTCCACTGCTCACTACAGTTTTTCAGGCATCTACACTCACATCTCACAGCACAGAACAAGCACCCTTCTCAATACGGGAGACAGATACTGCTTGGCACTCTCAGAGCCACTCTAAATTACCAAGGCTCACAAACCTCTGCTGAGTCCAGGACAGGAGCAAGGCAGAATGCAAACTGGAGCCTCAAAACTCTGTCCACTCTCCCATTTATTTCTGAGCCACTGAAACATAAAAAGAACATGGGGTGTTCCAGGAAACAGGATGAGATCAGGCAGTGATAAATAAAGCATGAAGTGAGAAGTGAATCCTAGAGAAGAAATAAAAGATGGTGCAAAATGGTCAAAGAAACTTCACTACAAAAAGGCTTGCAGACTGTTCAATATTTCATAGAATCCACTGAGTTGGAAGGGACCCAAGAGGATCATCGAGTCCCACTCCTGGTCTTGCACAGGACACCCCAAGAAACACACCATGTAATTTCCGTATCTTTCTCTCAAAAAGCAATTCCTGTACTAGAGGGTAGCACGTGAGCTGAGGAGAGAACTTGTACCTTCCAGGAAAAAAACCAAAACCACAAGAAAACCAACCTAAAATCAAATAGAAAACAGTGTTTTCTGAAAATAGTGTTTTCTATAACCTCTAAAAAAAAAAAAAAAAAAAGCAACTGACTAAAGGTTACCAATTTACAGTTATACGAGAAGAACAGAAATATATGTCCTGTCAAGAGACACTGGAGTTAAGTACCAGATCTGTGGAGTGCCTGGGTGAAAGCAGAGCAGAGCAGAGCAGGTACCCCTGGCTGCACCTGGAAGGCTCCTGAGCTCCTTCCCAGCTCACAGCCTCCTGGAACAGGATGCTCTCAGTATAACACATTACACTGCAGGTCAAGAACAGCATCTCATATGTACACCCCACATCTGCCCTTTCATTTTTCTCCCAGCAGCCTTACCTGAAGACCCTGACCACTTAGAGCAAATGGCAAGTCTTCCACCTCATCAGGCTTCCCACCAGGATCCACATCATTACAGTGGCAGTTGTTGGAATGTACCACATTTTTTACAGTCTCAGAGAGTGCAATACTGGATCTTTCATATTCCTACCTCAAGAAAACAATCCAGGTAGAGAGTTCTAGAATGCATCACGGCTATTGTGAGGAATGGGAACATCACAGAAAAACAAGAAATGTAAATTCTGACACAAATGATTAAAAAATGACCAAGAAGATGTTCTGACAAGCAGTAATTATCCAGCACTACTGCTTCCATAGATCCATCTTCTCGTGCACAAACAACAAAAGACCTGGCACATTTTTAAGTCTAAATCATGGTTTCTGTAAGACTACAGATTTCTGGCAGGTTAAGAGCTGAATACTCATGGTTCATATAAATCCTACAATACCTGTCTCCAAGAAAAGTAATGTCAGATTTCCTTGATTAAATTCCTGCTATGAGAATGATTTGACCTCCTTAAATCCAACTGCTCTAACAAGCTTCACATGGGACTAGACATTCACTTTGATGCAAAATATGGCAACCCACTAGTGGGGACTGAGAGAGGCAGTCAGTGAAGACTGTGAGCTTCTGCATTGCTATTGGAAAATTCTAATACTGGGGTATTTGCTTCAATTTTCCATTTCCTGGGATCCCCTGTCAGGAACAATGTACCACAGCCTATGGCACACTGCTACAAGGATGAAGCACACTCCAGGTTCAGAACCATAGGGAAGAAGGATCCTATGGCAATGGCAAGGTAGTCCAGCCTTTGGGTTTGCCCAGGGCAGTACTTCTACCTGTGAGCAACAACAGCTTCAGGGTGAAAAAAAATTAAAATTGTGATGTCTTCTCTGAAATGGTGCTGTGATGCTTCATGGATTGTCATGTTAGTACTGCCCTCATGTGCTGATCCTGGCTGCACGTGTGACAGTGAGGGAGAGCAGCACAGAACTACAGAATGTTAAAGGGTTGGAAATGACCTTAAAGATCATCCAGTCACAATTCCCCTGACATGTGCAGGGACACCTCCCACTAGATCAAGTTACTCAAGGCCTTATCCAGCCTGGCTTTGAACACTGTCAGGGTTGGGGCATCTACAACCTCCCTGGGCAATCTGTTCCAGTATCTCACCAAATTTCATCGCTTTCAGTTTGTATCCATTGGTCCTTGTCCTACCACTATAGTGCCTGACAAAGCCCCTCTCTGGCTTCCCTGTAGGCCCCCTTCAGCTACTGGAAGGTTGCAATGCAACTTTCTCTTCTCTGGGCTGAACAGACCCAACTTTGTCAGCCTGTCTTTGCAGGGGATGTGCTCCCATCCTCTTTGTGGCCCTCATCTGGACTTGCTCCGACAGCTCCATGTCCTTCTTATGCTGGGAACACCAGAACTGTATACAGTATTCCAGGGGGTCTTACAAAAGCACAAGAGCTAAACGTCTGATGAGGGATAAAATTAAACTACAGAACCCAGCCCACAGGGGACAGTCAAGATTTTCAGCTTCCTTGAGACATCCATATACTATTTTAAAATCGAAGTATTTGGGGTTCTGGTGCACTCAGATATTTCAAAGAGATGCTTAGACTTAAAAATGTGTTTTTGGTTTCCTGAGTTGAAAGGAGCCGGGATGATTCTAACAGGAAGAAATGCGAAGTTGATCTGCTGGGCAAAAGACATCCCTACAAAACTGTGTTTGTCTCCTTCCATTTTGAAGGTGAGCCAAAGAATGACCAAATTTTGTGGACATGGTTACAAATAAACTGGTTAAGAAGAAACTCCACCTGCAGTTTCCCAGAGGGCTGACTAATCCTTTCCTACTTGGATTGTCTGCATGGCTGCAGTGCACCAGATTAACCAGCCAGTCATGACGCACTCACTGCACTCAGGGGTGGCCACATCTCACTCTGAGTGTCTTCCTGCAAAATTCATTGTGTCCCTTTACCAGGAGGGATGCTTTGCAAAGGAAGGCAGCTGCTGCTATGGAATTGGGAGTTGCCTCTTCCTAGTGCTGATATCTTTCCAAGATAGATTCCTCTGAAGCAAGAGAGGAGAAAGAAAAAGGGATATTTTAGCATTACTTTATATCAAAGCTAAGGGTAAATATATATTGCTGAATTAACAGTGTGGAGATGGACCATATGCAATTTCTTGTTGAAAGAATCCAAGGGAAAACATCACAAGTCCAGGCAAATCTTGGCATGCGTAGTCATAATTTTCTAACTATTAGCATCCAAAGAGCCAAGATAAAGCAACAGGATCTTTGTAATGAGTTTCCCAGACTTTGTTCAGGTTTGGGATGTAAATTCAGGAAGGACAATGTAAAGGCAAAAAGGAGGAGTAAGAATCCAGAAGCATTTCGCTGAGCTGCAAACAAAGGTTACCATCTGCCATGAAAGCATTACCCTGGCCCAGCACCACCCAGAATTACTACAAGTAAACTGCTGCCAGAAAAACATTTATGACAGGACCAAACTCCTAGCAGGAACAGGTAGCCAGCTCCCAGACAGAGATCACTGGGGTTATAAACTCACCTCTTTTCTTCCCCTTTCAAGCCAAGACTCAGAGTTGCCTGTCATCAGTTTCCACGTGATGCATGTTCAGAATTTTTCCTCCCCTATTCAATTTTGCTGAAAGAGAGTATGACTAAAGTTGTTTTGATTGACCCATTAAATAAACATGAGCAGGACGTGGTGTGCTAACAGAGAATCATGTGTGTTTTCATGAAGGGAACTGACTTCTGGATTTATGGATGTTGTCACAGGCAAGCTTCTTTCACACATACTAATGCTGGAACAGACTCTACATTTTTTTTCAGCCCCAAAGGGATTACTTTAACAAAATTTGTTCTTCCTCTGGATTTTTTCCTTAACAGCTTGGTTAGAAGAAAGGAGGAAACCAACCCCTGATCTGCATGAAGATCTCCTCTGTTTGGTCCCACAGTTCGGGAGTCACTAACTAAGGAAAGCTGCTATGAGCTGCAATATAGAGAGAATGAAACAAATCCATGTAAGCTATTAATTTAGGTATGAAACAAAAACAAATTAAAAATAGAAAACAGCTAGTTTTAAGGACATATTCAATGTTTTTAATGGATCGGAGAACATGAGAGGAAGGGGAGTGGGAGAAAAATGTTGCTTCATATCATGGCTGTAATGGTTGGTGTTTCCAGGCTAGAAAACAAATTTAAGCAACATTTTCACCCACTCTGGAGTTTTTAGACTGCTTCTCCATTCAAACAGCAGCAAAAAATTTTCCCTACAATAAGCACATACTGAGTTTGTCTACCTCTTTATCTTCAACCCATCTGAGCCTTCCCTAATTGAAGTCTTGTTACACCAGAAGCCTTGATGGCAGTTCTCATGTACATGTACACAAGTGTGCAGGGCAACACGTATACATGTACACACATAAACTATCAAAATACTATTATAAAGCGAGTGTTCCTTCTCAACACCCCTTCTCTGCCCACCCCACCTCCCTCCCCTTCCCCAGGCCAGCATATCTCAAAACAGACTGGAACTGAGCACTTCCAAGAGCCATCCAGCCCCCGGTCGCACTGCAAACGTCTGGGTGCGTTGACAAGTCCCTGAGCCACCTCTAGGACTGGTGTTGACGAGCGGCCTCGAGTTCACAGTACTGATTCCTTGGACTCAGGGTCTGCTGTGCTGCTTGTGTTGGAGACTGGGTTTTTGTGGGTTACCAAAGGTGACGTTTCTGCTTCAGACTTGCTGTTAGCAACTGCTTCTACAGTGACTTCCTTGAGCTCCTGCTCTCTCTCTTTCTTGTCTTTTTCATTCAGGTAATTAAGGATGCCTGCTCCCAGGGCATCCCCTTCCACATTCACAACTGTGGTGGTTCGGTCCCTGGTGAAGATCAGAAACAAAAACCAAAGTTTTTAGTTTTAAGAGAGTTGTAACACAATAAGGGGAGCTGATTCACCCCTGCCAAACCACTAACATCAGTGGAACTAGACAGGGGAGATGTAGTTATCACAGGTGTTTTCCACTGAAGTATCATCTCTATTTCAGAACTAAAAATGCACACCAGAGCAGGTTTAAGGTCAGTCAGACTTACTACCAGCTGGTTCTGGTCTCTGTGAGTTGCAGCAATGGTACTACTCTTTCTCAGGTATCCTGCTTTTCACAGTTCATCTCCTTCCTCTTCCCTTTCCCCAGGCCAGCATTTTTCAAATGCATGTTCAGAGTAGGAACTTACTTCAGGCTTATCCAGTGACTCAGAACACCCAGCTCTCTTTTTTTAATTACTGTGACTGGTATCTTAATCCAAGCACCTACTTAAGGGATCCTTCCAAAAGCAGGCAGAATGATTTGTGTTCTCTGCATTTGTTCCCCATAGCACCTGCCCTAATTTTTGGTCCTACAACACAAAAGTAGTGTGCCAGGGTGTAATGGAAGAGATTTATGAGTCATAAAGATGAACAAAGTTTTCATGTGGCTTTTGAGACTTGCTAGGCATTCTACAGCCTAACTTTAAGAGGCTCAACTTGTAATTGTGGTCCTCTCTGGTAATTAAACAGCTGACATTAAAGCAAGACATGGGACTCCTTCGTCCCTCTCTTCCCCTTTTGTTACCACACAGCTGAGCTCCTTGACTAGAACACTGTTGACCACAGAGGGATGCTACCTATTTTAAAAGGAAGGCAACTAGCACAACACAGGCTTGAGAGCAGCCCAGAGTGTAAGGAAGGGCAAGTTTTTCACTCTTGCCTCAAAGCACTTGCAAGTACAGGTGTGGAACACCCAGCCACTACTGTACTTCCTTAGCAAGACAGGATACAAAGGGCTAGCCAGTGCTTTGCCTGTCCTCTGGAGTGACTGATCCCCAAGAGGTTACAGTAAGAAAGAGTGTAATGACCCTAAGGAGGCTGTAGGAATATGCTCCACAGACGTGTTGTGTGGGAAGGGAAGGTAAAATACAGCTGCCACGTTCCCCAGTCTCTGAAATTCAAGGGTGTCCTCAGGCATCCTAATTTCCACATCTGCTGTGGGAATGCACCATCTGCACATAGAGGCTGGTGTTTCCAAAAGGCAATGCTGAGGCATTATGTGCAGTCCAAACCAGGAGCTGCCCAATAATCCACCAAATGGAAACAAATTATTTAAGCAGGATTCAGATCACTTGACCCATATTGACCTCTTACTTCCTTCCCCAAATCGGAAAGGAAAGGTGGTAATACTGTCTACTAAACTTGTGACACTCAGCAGTGTGTTCCAGCCATGCCAGTGCCCACGGCAGTGACAAGTGTCACAAACCCTCTGTGTCCCTGCCCTGCCAATGAACAGCACCCCTCTGACACCTGTGGTGGTGCTTTGACCAGTCTTGAAACTATTAAAAAAGTTCAAACAATAGGTGACAAGAGCTTCTGATGGAAACTGCTTCCCACATGTGACTAAGGAAGTTTTCCACAAATGATGTTCAGACTCAATTTCCCTTGTCCTCCCATGCCCTTTTAGCATCCAATTAATTTCCAGCAATATCAACACATTCTAAATGGACTTTTAACAACCATTCTACTGGGAATTGAAGCCAAGAAGAAACACATTTCTACAACGGCTGAATAAAAAAGCTGAAGAGGGATTTCAGCATACTGACTACTTTAAATGGGAAGGCATCACCTTTTCCATTCCCCATCACAAGTTACCTGTCCCGTAGGCAGACATCTTGTAGGGTCTTATTTCCTACCCAGTTTTATTTTCTACTGGGTTATATTCTGTACTTTGACCACGTTTCCAGCTAAACATGCTCCAGGGATGCTGTAGTGCAGTGGATGTCACTCTCTTTTCCCACGTAACAAGTGACAGGATGAGAGGAAATGGCCTCAAATTGCACCAGGGGAGATTAAGATTAGATGTTATGAAAATCTTTTCATGGGAAAAGTTGTAAATCATTTGAACAGACTGCCTAGGGAAGTGGTGGCGTCCCCATGACACGGCTTAACGGTGAGCATGGTGGGTGGTGCCACATGGACAAAATCTGAATGGTTTTTTCTAGCCTTAGCCATTCTGCAATTCCATGTTTCTGTGCCTCCCAACAGCAGGTAGGTGAGGCCTGCAGTACTCACACGATCCAGTCCACGGCCAGTATGAGGGACAGGTCGTTGGTGGGCAGCCCGATGGCCTCCAGGATGATGGCGATGGTGAGGACGCCTCCGGCAGGGACCCCGGCTGCTCCCACGCTGGACGCCGTGGCTGTCACGCTGCAAATCAATGTCCATGCCTGGTTAGAGGACTCCCAGCTGTCCTCTGCTGCGCTCTGTCATGTGCTTCCCCGCTATGGGAACTGTAAACAAACGCTCCAGCATGGGACACACGGAGCTTTCGCTTCCCAGGCAAAGGAACGGGTACAGAGGACAGGGGCTCAGCAGGGATCCGCAGCAGTTACCATGGCGATGGCTCTGGGTTCAACACCAGGACTGCCTTTTCAGGATAAGAAACAACCAACACAACTGTATCCTGCTGCCTGACTAACATTCCCAGCTCCAGTACGCTGAGGGATTTACACCTCCTGACCCCACGTGTATAAGGGCAAACTCCACCATGCAGGGCACAGCACCTTCTCTGTGACTCGTTTGCATCCCAACACAGACCCTAAACCAGGAGCTGCAAACCTGCAGTGCATGTGCTCAACACACCTTTTTGTGTGCAGATGTCTGCAACTGAGCTCTCCTTGGGCATCATCCTCAGACCTGTCTTCACACCTGATTCACTGAGAGTACCTGAAAAGCTAATTTGGCTACCCACACAAAAAAAAACGCAGTGCCCCAGCCCTGCCTTAAATAGACAAACAACACACTGGGAAACACAATCAAGAAGAAAACAAAACCTAGCCAGGAAGGGTAAAAAATGCCAGGAACCAGCCCTAGGAGGCATGTGGTGGATGCAGCTGTGGCTGCTGGGCACAGTGAGGATCCAGAACTGCTTGTAGCATCCTCATTTAAGGGATTTTGAGGCGAGAAATTAAGATAATGACACTTCATGGGATATGGGACATCGGAGGATATTCCAGGCATAGAGGGGAGAGAGTCTTAGAGAAGGAGATAGGACTGGGATGGTGGAGGGGATAATGGAGCAAAGCAGTTAGAAGGGGAACAACAAGAGATCTGATCAGGAAAGCCAGCAATGTGATGGCAGGAAGGACAGAGATAAGCAGGAACTGAGTCTTTAGTACAAAATACATGCATAAGGAACCAAGGAGCTGGCAGGAGAATTTTCTAAGACATCCAGAGTGGGAATCAGGGGCTGCTTTCTGTGCAGTACAGAATGCCTCAATTACCCAGCCTAATGGTGACTGAAGGATGGAGGAGTGAGATGCTTAAGGAAGGAGAGGAATTTCACGTGAGAAAGAGCTTTAAACAGCTCAAAGACTGTTTCAGAATTCAATTACCCCTCCCAGGTTCTACCTTTCATTACACTGAGACTCTGGAAAATCTTGTAAAGGTTTAAAGACTCCATCCTTTAATCACCCTATAATTATGTTACATAGCAGTTTGTAAGCTTTAGGTCAGAGATGTGGAATGCTAACTGTTAGGTATTAACGGAGAGACCACAGCCTGGATGTGTCTGGGGGCCAGAAGAATGTGGTTGCAAGCAACTTACAGAATTGTGAAGATCTGCCCAGGGTTGAGGTCGACATTATTCAGCTGAGCAATAAACACAGCTGCCATGCACTGGAAAATAGCAGCTCCATCCATGTTTACAGTGGCCCCAATGGGAAGGATAAACCTGCTGATCCTCTTGTCAACTCCGTTGTTCTCCTCGATACACTTGATCATGGATGGGAGCGTGGCTGAGCTGGAAGCAGAACAGGGAGAAATGAAACAGAGCACCAGGGTGCTCTGAATGGCCCATCACTGTCTCATGGCTTTCACGTTTCTAGCATGCTGCAGGCAGGACTGTCAAGGCAACAATGGCATTTTACAGTCCCTCTCTGGAATGATGGCAATGAGGGACCCTCCTTGTTGAGTTTTGAGCAGAGGTATTTAATAATCTGCTTTCATCCAGAAATAGCTGATAAGGACTTTAATCTCCCAGAAGCAAGAACTCATGACTTAACACAGTATGCAGCATTACATGGCTGTAGAATGAACACATCTCAAACTACAACCATGCAGTAACAGATGCAAATACAGCAGGGGAAGTTGGAACTAGATGATCTTTAAAGTTCCTTCCAACCCAAACCACTGTATGAGTCTATGACAATATAAACACAACAGATGCAACAGCAATCTCTGTTAATGCTGTATTAGTATGCTCTCAAACAAACAGAAAAATAATTAAAAACAAAACATCACTCTTGGATTTATTTCTTGCATTATAAATTACATGGTTTTATTCATAAACCCTCTCCTACTATGTAGAAGGAGAGAGTTTATAAATAGTACTTCAGCTCCACAGACAGACATGCAACTGCTTTTGGGGATGACCTGAAATGATTTTATATAATATGTCATTTGATCAGGTGTTTGTACTTGAGAAAAGTGTAAATGACACGCTCAATCATTTGGTTATGACAAATAAAAGCTGATCAGGACAGATCTTTGAAATAAATAATGTTAAATGCCTTTACACTAACAAGCAAGTCTGCTTTGCTCCTACAAAATTAGTCTAAATTTGTTCCATGTTTTTCTGAACTTAAAAAGTAAACTTCTGAAGACAAAGTCTTCACTACTGACCCTCACTTCACTTAAAATTGAAAGGACAGCTGGCAGGACCATTTAAAGACAATAATTTTCTTTTTTTCCCCCAAGATATTTCCAACTAAGCATCATGCTATGGCCTCAATATTTTGAGGAATTCTTCTCAACAGCTGATAATCAGCATGTGCTGTGCAGCAGGCTGATGACACTCTGTGCTCAGAAGACTCTTTCTGCAATCTCAGGAACAATATTCACACCTTAAACTAAAACTGGATACAGCCAGTTTATGGTGACAAACATAACCAGGCTATAGTCCCAGAAGTGGCACAGAAACCCACCTGGAGCAAGTGGCAAAGGCAGTAGCAAGTGGTGTGATAAGTCCTAAGAGAAAACGATACGGATTTTGCCGTGTGGCTGCAAAATAAATAAGCGGCAGAATGATTCCTCCGTGGATGACGTGGCCCAGGATAGAGGCAAAGATGTATTTTCCCAGACTGGTCACCAGAAGCACAATATCTTCCATTTCCACAATCTTGCTCCCAACAAGGAACATAATGCCAATAGGTACATACCTGTGTAAATGAAATATCGACTGTCATGAAGTACAAACAAATAGCCTTGGAAAACACAACATTTTGTGTCCTGGAGATAATATTCCCCTAAACAATCTGCTGCTCTTACTGAAGGGTAGTTCCTTAATCACCACACGCTCAGGTTAGGCAAATTTGGAAGGCTTTTCTAAGACTCTTGTTTGGTGGATGGTAAGCAGTCAAATTTTAAAAGGTCTGGTCACTTATGCACTCAGAGACAGACTAGGAGAGTGCCAAAGGGAAGGTGAGTGGGAAGCAGAAATGCTGCCAGGAGCTACCAGTACAAGACACCAGTGAGGAGGGGAGGGAAGGGAGCAGCATCACATCTCTGGAGTACAGAGAGGAGTGAAAGAGTTGGGTCTTAGACATGCAGAAACTCCCAGCACGAGTACAGAGTCAGGTCATTAAAATCACAGACACACTATGTGCCAACTCTTGTGGAGGTTAAGAAAAAGCTGTGCACATACCAGAGAGCTCAGCTAAAGGCTGCTGATGCATGTGCCAAAGACAGCAATTAATTCTGCTATTTGCCTAAAAAGGACTAAGTTAAATGATCAGGCTTCCAGAGCTTGCCCCAAGCCAACAGCCAGGCACACACACATCCATGGCTCCTATCTAGAAACATACCACGTCAGCATTTGTTTGAAGTTTGCTTTGTCGAGAGCAAGTGGAGCTGCTCCAGGGGAAGGGCTACCTGCAGGCTACAGCTCTGGTCTCAGTAGCCCTGAAAAGGCTGAACTGCCCTTGCACCAACAGCACAGCAGCTCTAAACAAACTGTGTGAATCACTGCAGGCCCAGGGCCAGCTCCTTCCTAAGCTCTACTGGGATGTTTGCATCTGAGTATCTGCTGATGCTGTCCACACTTCATCCCTTTCTTCTAAGGTTAAGAAATACTAAAAGATCACACAGCTCCCTAAAATCCTGCCCCAGGAAAATGTGTGACTAAAAAAGATTTACCTGTACATCTTAGGAATAAAGAATCCAATGCCCATGTTCAGAGAAGCTGATTTGTGGAGTCAGGACAAACTTCAAAAGGTTTGATTAAGCATGCAAAGGTCTGGAAAGGTGGGCAAGCCTTAAGGCTGCTCAGCTTACTCACTTCTTCCTGGCCTGCCTCTCCCTCAGTGGTTCTGCAGCTCCTCTGTTCCATGCAGAGAGCATCTCCCTATATCCCAGATCCATGTGAGCATCCTCTGTCCTCCCTTGGCCAAATCTCTAGGGAGGCCTGTGGAACATTCCCCACTTAGCCTATGCAATTCTGCCTTTGAGCTGTGTTTCCGAAGACCCTGATTAGCCAGATCCAGCTGAGCCCTGGTCCTGCACAAGCTCTGAACACTGAATTCCTCCCCTTGAAGAGGGAGGCTGGAGAGGAAAGAACTGGAAGTTGAGATCCAAGTGCTGCTAAAACACAAGAGTGGCTGTTGAATGGGACCAGATATGAGCTCAAGCTGCCTTTGCTCCCAGTAGTGTGATTTCACCATTCCAAAGTATCCCTTGGGAAGCACATGCAGCTTTACAGATTTTGAACAAACACCAGGACTACACAAGAGCCTTAAAGAAGGAAAGAGAACAAGTAAGGGTTTCACTGTCAAGGGTCAGCAGTAGTCCCTATAATCCACAAAATGAAGGATTACATACCAACTGATTGGCTTGAAGTGCTAGCACTGTAATAAGCTGAATACATGAACTGCCTCTTATCAGTATTCAGTGTCCAAGGAATTACACTCAAGAGCAGAAAGCTTAAGCTGCTTGGAGACTGAATTTTTCAATCCCTTATGATAGCAACTAACACAGAGACCTGCCTGTTTAAAATCAGGTGTTTTGTTAAAACCCTTCTTCTTAGGAAGAGGAAAACAGTAGGAATGAAAAATGCAGAATGAAGGAAGAAATACATTTAAGTATACATTTAATACATTAGGTGCATTTACAGCTTTTTCACCAGTTTTGGAAAGGGAGTGAGAAATGTCCCACTTCATTTGTTTGCTAGCCATCTTTATGAATATTTTAAAGTTTGTATGTGAGGTATTAGTACTGTTGGTTTCACAGGAGCAGCCTAACTCCATACAGCTACCAAGGACAGCCATGATACTGCTCTGAGGCCCAGGTTCATCCCACCTGATGGAAAACCCAGCCAGGATTCTGCTCCTACCCCAGCTCAGGGGGCCTGACCACCCTCTAGAGGTGCCTGCCTCCTCCAAAGGTGGTTTCTTGCCTAATGAGAAAGTTTAGTGTGCTCCAGTTCCTAACTAAGAGACTTTTTTTGGCATCAAAAGCTTTGTGGGATTGATCAGAGCACTAGTCAGCCCATAAACTTTTCCAAACTCCAAGGACTTAAGTGCAATAATGTATTTGCTTATTAATAGGCAAGAGAAAAAAAATCAGCATTAGGAAATACTGAGTTTTCTTTCCACTAAATAATCAAAATGGAGTCCTGGAGAGGATTTATAGACAACCCTTTAAAGTTCTCCAGCCTGATACCTTAAGCTATGAGTGACTGTCTCATTACAGGGCACAAGCAAGGAGAAAAAAACCCATTGTGTTACATCACAACATTCACTTTTGCTGTGATGAGGGATTTCACAGGAAAGAGCTGGACAGAGAGATGAAATGTAAGTTTGCTGATCTGAGCATAACACTGCAGTGCAGACGTATCTGCAGTCACACACTTACCACATAATCCAGGTAACCAAGACCATTGTTGCCTCATTAAATGAGTTAAAGAAGCGAATCAGATCTTCCCCCTCCGGGCCAAGCTTTTTAAGTGCCACTCCTAAAACCAGAGCAAACAGCACCAGTCCCAGGATGTTCATCCCTCTGATATCAGTACCAACAGGGACCTGCAGAGACAAAAAAAGAAGGCTTTTTACATATGAGAATAGGACAAAACCAAACAAAAGGGTAATTTCATTTTATTGCTGTCTGATTGATCTGAAATCAACAAGCAGAACCTATTTTGTTGAAGGGAATCCAGGAGATCTGGTACAAGATTCAGTTCAGGTACAAATCTCCCTAGTTATGAGCTGGCACGGATTCACTGAGAAGGAAAGGGCCTGCTGCTACCTCCCCATGTGCCCTTCAATATAATAGTTGTGTTCTCAGTGACCTGAAGAAAAAAACTCCCCAGTTTACTCAGGACTTTAGTGCAATGATGATATCAAGGCGAAAACCATGAGAAAACAACCAATGTCACGAAGCAGAAGGAGGGGAGAAAGGCAGAGAAAAGCAGCAAACTGTGGCAACCTACTCCTTCATCTGTCCATGACAGCTGTGGGAGAGAGAGAACAGAAAGAGAGATACCTGTTCCCCTTCTCAGAAATCTCTCACTGCCTGTGAAAAGAGAATAAAAACAGGATCCACCTATTGACAAAAACTAGTCTACCCACAGGTCTGCTCTGTTAGTCTTTCATGGCTTGCTTCTCAAAGAGAGCTCTCTTTGGCAATATAGTATCATATGAGCTGAATGAGTACTCTTGTGGCTACATAAAAATATAATTGTTTTGACAAACTGGGATTTTTTTCTCTCCAACTTGGCAGTACAAACATGTCAAATTGTTGTTTTATTTGGAAGAATTTCTATAACAGATGAAGTTTGTGTACAAGTTTTGGCCTTTTGGCTAGTTTAAGCGGACACTAGCTCAACACTAGGAAAGAAAAATACATTCTGAGCTACAAGTTTGAAATGAATATTGACTAAAGAACTCAGGATACTGATCTCCTAAATCTGATAAAACCAGCCTGCTTAAGATTGATGTTTTTTCTGGAAGTACACTGCTGAACTGGACTGTCTCTCAATGGCAGGTGGAAACAAGGTCCTGCAGGGAAAGGGATAAAATGTAAATCATACACAAAAGCAGGAAGATTAAACTGCTGTTAAGAGAAGTATTTACAAACAGTGAAGGTACTGGCTTTTTTTATTCACTAGGTAAAAAAAAAATAGATATGGAATCTGCAATTTTTATGGTAGTTGCTTGTTCAGGGCTAAGCTGCCACTATTTATTTCATTCCTGATTGAAAGAACTGAGAACATAGACAGATATTAAGCATGAGGCACATCAGAGATGTCAGAGGAAACATGCTGTCATACACACTAACACTTTTCTGTCTGGATAGTTTTGGTTATATTCTGGTTTTTCTGACTGAAAGCTCTAAACTCTTCTGTGGCTAGAAAAGTTAAGACAAAACAAATGACCCCCTCCTATTAATTAAACAAACCATCTGTGTATATGGGATGTTATTCTATAATATATATAATTTTATACTGGGCTCGTTTGATACAGGGGTAATATGAAAAGTTCAGCTGGAACAGAATTTTACTATAATGGGCCCAAACCAGTCCTCAAAAAAAGTCCTAAAAACAGTGAATACTCTCTTGTTTTGGTTCCCATTCTGAAAAAAAAAATGTATAAAACTTTGCCATGAAACAGAAATTCAGTGTTTCAGTGCTTTAAGAGCCCAGAATTCTGACCTGGATGTTGCTGGGAGAGAACCTCTGTACTGTCCAGAATGACAGTACATGGTCTTCTTTCACCCTTGGAGAGGTCTCTGTCCACCTTGCTCCCAGCACTGTGGTAACTGCTGCTGCTGTTCTCCAAGTGCTCACACTCACCAGCACTTCAAGCCTAGATTTTGTGACCTGGGGACCCCCTGACCTCTTGGTGACCAGAAGATGACTGTGTGTGCCACTGCCAAAAGCTTGTGAGCTGTCTCCCTCTATTTGCTGCCATCCTGTCCCCACTTTCAGGCCTTGCTCTCCCCTTGTCTCTCTCTCACTGATTTCTTTACAACACACAGCACTCACCATCACCTCCCAACACTGCAGATGTAAGCAGAAGATGCACCACTTGCCTAGAGTAGTAACTTATTGCAAGAAATTCCTCCCTGCAAACCCAGGGCACGATCTGCAGCATTCAGGGAATTCCACCTCGTTGTGACACCATATGGAATGAGTCCAGCAGAAAATCTTCAGCGGAAGATCCTCACAATCCCAGCCTCTAAAACTGGCAGATGCTGAACAGCCTTTTTGTACTCTCACACAAGAGTGCATCACCCCAAAGGGGCAGCCAAACCAAGCAGCATTGTGGATACCAAACAAAAACAGCTTTAATGAGAACTTTGTTCCTGGACAAACTGTGGGACACGTTATTGTTTGCCTGAAATTATGCATTCTCTTAGGAAGATTCATGGAGCTCTTCTGGTCCTTGAATCTCTCTGAAGATCCCATTGTTTTTTAGCTCTTGAAACAAAATGCTTATCAAGGAAACAACTGCTGACATTGAACAGTCCCAGTAGTAGGTGGCTGAAAAGAAAACGCAGCCATGTGATGTGAGGAAGAAGAGCAACCACTGGTTTGTGTATTTTTACTCCTGTCCAAAGAGGAACTGAGCCCCCCAGGCTCCCTGTGCTGCAGATGGTAAAGTGAGATAGTCTGTGCCCCAGGAAGTCTTGCTGCCAATGAGACAGAGAGGATGTAGCCATAAAAGCTGGGTAAACATGAGGTGAGCATGTGAAACAACACAAGAGGACATGGCTGAGCAAACAAGTACGTGTCCCACTATTCACTTCATCAGTGAGAGAAGACAGAGCCTAATAACCAGTGGGGGGAGGGGGGGGGTAAATATATTCAATGGAAATTTTTGCTCTACTCTATTCAGATGAAAAGTTGAAGGAAAATATTTCTCCTCTTCACTCAAATACTCTGCTGATGAAAGAAGAAAGTAGATAGGAATATGACCTTATTCCTCTGGAACCAAACTTCTGTCACTATGATATCCAAAAATCATACTCTTCTTTCCAAACTTAATCCTCATCTATCCATAAATACTATGGTCAGACCAGTACTAAAGCTGAGTTAACAAAACTGAGATGATGCTCTCTTTTTATTTGGTCTGTTCTTCCCTAGAGACAGTAGGGCGTCTTCTGGAATTAAAGAAGCTCAGTCTGGTTTTGCTCCAACAACTCAAAAAAGGTTTTGGAAAAGTAATAGCAGAAATAACCTTTACATCATCACAACTGTTGGCAAAAACAGATACCAGTGGCATATTCAGAATATTTTTTCTGATGTTACATCAAACAGGAGACTGATAAGCCGGAAAAAGAGAGAGGAAAAATGAAAAAAATAATGTTGCATTTTAAAGGGCCAAAAGATGCATTCTTATCTCTTAAGGAAAAGTGATGGTGTTGAACAAGCATTTAAAAAGTACTTGACATCAGCACCATTTTCAATGGATATGGTTAGCCTTAATCCATGCTTGGTTGCTACGGAGCTCATATCAAACCTGACAGTGAAGATAAATAAAATACTTAATTCCCATTTCACTTACCCTTGCTTAAATGTCAAATAACTCAGCACTCTGCAAAAAACACACAAATCTAAGTGCACGTTGCTACAGCCTCCCATACCGAACGAGTTTCAGCAGCACGAAGCTGCAGGGGCGTGCCCTGCCCCAGGGCATGCAGAGAGAAAGTGCTCTTTTGGGATTCCACAGTGACCTCGGATCCGGGCTAAGGCGATCCAGCAGGCACGGGCAGGGGGAGCTGCCTCCTTCCCCAGCGGAGCTGCTCACCCTGTGATGCCAGGCTCTCAGGCAAGGCACAGCTTTGCCCCTGCTCAGTTCATGCGTCATCCCAGTCACCTGTCACCCTGTCTCCAGAGCTGGGGAAAGTTCAGGTCAGGGCTAGAAGCAGAGTTCACAAACACTGTTCTGCATCACCTGCTCACACACCATGCATGGGGAGGAGAAGGCAATGAAGCTAATGCTTCCTGTGCTCAGGGATAGGCTCCAGAGTCCCTCCGGGTGAGCATAAACTGCTTTTTCCTTGATGGTTTTACAAACTGGTGGGCAAACCCCAGCTGAACCCTTCCATGACAAATGCAAACACTACAAGTCTCTTGCTCTAGGGGAATTGAAATCATATTAAAAACGTAGTAACCCAACATCTAATACTGAGCTCAGACAGCCAGAATGAGCCTGAGGTAGAGAAAATCACCTTGAAAGTAATTTCTCAGACCTGTCTCCCAAAAATCCCATGGCAGCACATGAGATACTTATTTGGAGCAAGGTGACACCTTGCAGGCTGGGACTCTGGGTCTGATTCACAGCATGCTGCTTGTAAGACAACAGTAATTACTGCTGGGCCTGCAACATGTTGGCTCTGGCCAATAATAAACATGTTTGATAGCCCTGTCTGCAGGAGAAATGACACTTAGTGGGATACAGAGCATCTCTGAAAGTCCTGCCATCTACATATGGAAGATAACACTCTCTACTTTGTCTACACCTACACACCAGTTCCCTTTTTGACACCATTGCAACAGTAGCCTATTTGTAATATTCTATCCGTAATTTTTACTCCTTCAGACCACTTGTTACTTCTTCAAAATTTCAGCCACCAGAAAAAATTCTCAACCTAACAAATCTCTTTTTTTTTTTTTAAAGAGCCTTGGGTAGAGGGAAAAAACCTCATTCTCTCCAAATTCTTAATGAAGAGTAAGGTTTAAGGGACATACTCAGCCAGCCTGATTGCTATTTAGTTCCAAGTCTACAGAAAGTTATTTGGAAACATTAGGTAGACTGTCTAAAATTTAGATCAAGTGAGACCAGGTCTAAGAAAGCATGGCCTAAAACAATCAAGTATCAAGGGTCACATCAGTTGAGCTCAACTCTCCTCTCAATCACAGCTTTCTGTTGTGGCTGTGGGTACTCACTCAGCTTGTGCGTGTCTCAGTTCCAGGCAAATAAAAGTACTTGTTTCTTTCTCAAGGCTGCCGGAAAGGATTAAAGGCTGTGAAGTAGTCAAATACTACTGACAACAATTTGTTTAAAAACCTAAGAAATGACCTTACCTTTTCCCATGTGACATTTCCAGAGGTTGTGTTCCTGAGCAGTATCTGATAGTCTGTCGCATACTGCAGGTAAGAAATAAAACACAACCAAACAAAAATGGTGAGGCATGCATTAAAATTGTCAGCAAAATATCTAAAATCTAGGGCAACAATTTACTTTGATAAACAAACCAGACACCTCACAAAAGCAGGGCACTTCTCTGGGCTTCTTTTTTTTCAATACAAAAGGAGGGAAGAAAAAGCTTCTGCCCTTGTCAATTCCCTGTGACAACAGCAGCACAGAGGAAAAGAGGACTGCTTTATTTCATCCCTGAATTCACATAACCCTGACACTAGAGGCATCACAAAATATCCCTTTCATAGTGTTGTTTTTGTACTGCTTCTGGTTTTACTCATGGAATATTGACCTGTACTGTGCTGTATATATTCATGCAAAATGGAACTTGATTTTAAGAGTTTGCCCCTGGTTTTGATACAAAAGCAAACCCACCATGAAGGCAAAAGCTATTATTCTGCCTCTGTATCAATAAGGAATGACTCTGCCCCATGACAATATTCTCAACACTCTATATCCTGACATATAAAATTAGCATTGAGAACTAAATCAAAATCTTTTTGGAGCCCTACAGCTCCGATTCACCAGTTTAAACCACACTATGTTCTGGTGCCAGTTATCATCCCACCATACTGTCTCTGTTGGAGAGAAACCAGGCTGAGTAATTAATCCAGCAAGGGATACAATGGAAACTACTGAAAAAACCCATCAAGCAACAGGTAATGCTTACACACATGGGAGCCTAAAGGTCTTCAGCCTTGTCTGTTCTGAGCCCAGCTCTAAACGACAGAGCCGAAGGATTCTCTCAGAATTCTCAAGGATTCAGGAGCTAGCTCCTGCAACATGGTAAGCAGTCTGGTACAAAGCAGGATTGCCACTGCTGCCCAACATGGCACTCAAAGTTTAAAAAATATTTTTGGTGAAGGCAGAAAAGATGGGCGTTGAATATGCTTTTGTTTGAAGAATATTTTTCAATAATTTGCCAGAGAAGTTGTATGTCTGACTATATCATGTGCTTTTAAAAACCCTACCTTCTGTAAGTAAATTAACTTCTGGTATTTTCTACACCATCTTTCTAGCCCTCTTCCAATAAAAGAGCCTATGCACTGTAGCTCATGTCCAAAGTCCACACAGATCTTACCGTTTCAAAAGCTGCAGCAACAAGATTTGCAGGGAACAGGTTTCTGTAAAAGACGAACAAGAAAATGAAATATGTCTTGGAGAACTTCTAAATTTATGCAGCAATGTATCTTACTCTTAAACAGAATGCCTTTTTCAAAGACAAGCACTTCGGCACTGGTGAAGTGTGTAGCACAGAAGATTCTCCAGCAGCATGGAGCTTGCTAAGTGTCCAGAGGTGTGGATGACATCTTCCTTGGCTCACATGAAAGAGATGACAGATGCTTGCTGCCACACCTCACTTTTGGGCAGGGCCACCAGAGGCAATCACACACAGTGCTGGTTTTACACACCCATTGCCCAGTGGCTAGGGAAACTGCTTCAGCCACACCATCTGCAGCACCAGCTTATGGCCTCCAGTGTCAGGCAGGTTTTTAACATTGCTCATGTGACTACACTCCACGCACAGCATCAACATGAAGGACAATCCAATCAGCAAAATCCACTTATGAGAATGGCTTAACCCTTCAACACAGCAAGGCCAGCTTCCCTGATCCCCAAGGCAGAGCAGAACAATATCACAGGCCAGACTTCCCTGCAAGGACTTAGACACCACAGATGGAAAGTACAGACAACTCCTATGGAACACCTGAATCCAGTAGTGCCTTCACACAGAAATGCCCATCTAGCATCAGCTTAGTGCAGAGAGGACAGCATGCAAAGTGATGTACACTCTTTCTGACCATCCCGTACGTATCTGCATACAGGAAATTAAAGTCATGAACTGGACCAAGCAGAGCATTCTTCCAAGCTTCTTGTGGTATCTTTTAGTTGGTTTTAATGCTCTAATTCCTTTCTCCCCTTATGGACAAAGAGCACGTGTTCCTCTAGCCAAATGACAGCTCTTGGTTTTCTGTGTCAGAAAGGAAAACAGGAATAAAAGCTGATTTCTGGGGTCATGGCAGGACCACAGCTGGCAAGGGCAGGAATGTGATGGGTATCAGCTGAAAATACTGCCAGTAGAAGGCATCACAGAGGCACAAGAACTCTGATGGTAAGGAAACAGAAGACCTTACCCACAGCCAGTCAATCGGATAGCTGCTACCCATCCTTTGCTCTTTGTGCTGCAGGAAGCTGCAGCTCCCTCCAGGCTGTGCCCTGCTAACTTCCCCCATTTTTGCCACAGTTACCCAGGCAAACATTAAACCAGGCTGTGGTCATTCCACGAATGGCATGGAACAAGCAAATCCAAACCAGAGCAAGAAAAGGAGCAGCAGAGTAAAATCTTTGAAAGCAAGAGGGAGATTAAAATGTGGCCAAGATAAGGACTTTGGCCCTTTTGGTTGCATGGCTGTGTCCTCCTGCCACACAGGGAGTTTTCCCACAGCCTTGACAGCAATAGTAAAGGACATGGAACTTCGTCAAACAGCTGTCTGCTGTGAAATACCTCGGCTTCTCTCTCCCTCATGCACTAAAAATGTATTAGGAGGATTGCTGCAAGAATAATTTGTCTTCTGGAGTCTACATTCCACCAAGCATGAAAGAAACAGCAACTTTTTCTCCTCATAAGCTGACAATACAGCTGTCTGTCTGGAAGCAGGAGAGTGAGCTCTCACTCAGCAAAGACACTCAAGAATTGGCCAAATAAGATCAATGGAACAGCTAACATGCATCAGCTCTTGCACAGCTGGAACTCTCTGGTGGATAAAAACCTTGAGCAAAGTAAAAGCAAACTTGCTTTTATCAGGAGTAAAATATCACATATACAAATGGGCTCATGCTGTTGGGAAAAGAAAGATATTTCTTTTCAGGTTTTCATAGCAGGATGATTACTTTTCTTAAAAAAAGAACTGACTGGACTTTGAAGAAGCAAAGAGATGAAAAAAGACTGAAAACCAACCAGAAATCAATTCTTCTTCTTTTTTTTTAAATCAGCTTTTCCATCCTGATGAAAACAAAACCAAAGGAAGCAATACTAAAGCCTAAACAACATGGTTCTCCAATGTTTAAATGTGGCCAGGAAACCAAACCCTCCATAATTTGCACAGTATGTCAGGCAGGGGCCTCAGTAACTAAACATTAACTTATCTCCAAGCATATATTTAAAGCACACAGTTAAGTGATGCCAGCAATCCTGTTACGGCAAGGGGCAGGTTCTTACTTCAAGTGTGAATAGTGCTAAAAAATAACCTAGACACTTTGCTTTATTCCTCCAGCACCAGTCGCAGGACTTGATAATTTGCCAAGCAAAAAATGTTGATCTTAAGCAGCTCATAAGGAGTTTTATGTTCTGTTCAATCCAGCTTCTAAGTACACCTGACTGCAAAATACCAAAACCACATAAAATAAAACCAGCAAAACAGCTCCTCTGTTTCAAATCCCAAAGCTTAAGAACAAAATGTGTCGGGTCATAAAAAGCAATCTACAAATAAATGGCTCATCTCAGAGGCACGCAGTCTGCACAGAGTATACTTACTGCTCACCTAAGATCAGTCAGCATGTGAACCAAATTAAACTTTAATTACAGGTGGGTCAGATCACAAGTTCTTACCTTTGGATGGATTTGTGCAAGAACACTACCGCAGTGCCTGAAAAAGGGGGCAAGATGCTGCGTGCTATAGGGAGAGATAAAAGCTGGCTGGCGACCTGCCTGGGCCCATCATGGACTTGTGCCTGCAGGGTTTGCTCCTCACGCCTGGGAAGGTGAAGCTCACCATCACAGAAACACAGACACAGCTCCGTCCCTGTGAGCAGAGGAGCTGTGTGGGGAAGTGTGGACACCCCTCCTGTGAGGGTGAACCAACAAACAGCAAAGCTGATGAACAGGGTAATTGGGCATGCAAATGAAATTTGGGTGTCTGCCAGTTGTTTTTTCTGGAAGGACCAAAGGTTTAGAAGGTTTTTGTGCTTTGAAAGCCTGTAGCAAATGTGAACATGGAGTTTAGGGAAATCACCCTGGTTGTATGGCTGGATTGTTGACTGTTCCTGATGACCCCCTCCCCATGACCTGTGCCAGAAAACACCGTCGTCTTTCTGAAGCACATGTGGATTATCACAAGAACACGGTGCTGGCCAAACCCTGGGTCTGGGTGATAAGGAGCCCAGCACAGCAGTGTGGGATCAGACAGCCTTGGCCCCAAAAGCAGGGACACAAACTTGCTGCACGTGGCACGAACGAGACAGGCCAATAACACACCAGGGCAGGGGGACAGATGTGCTGCCTGTACCCCACATGCTCCACTGCTGCCGGCACCTTGCTCCACACACGCACAGAACCCAGCTCCTCTGTGCCATGAAAGTGAGGTAAGTGGCACAGAGAGACTTTACTCCCCTCAGCAAGCACCAGGCAGGAAAGCCTCTCTCTGCCTGCTGCAAGTTGTGCAGACAGCCCCAAAAAAAGCCGTATTAGAACTCCATCTGACAGCTGCCAATGGGGACAGCTGTGTCCTGGGGCTGAAGCGACAGCTGGGCTGAGCCAGGAAACCTCCACGTAACTGCACAACACACAGGGTGAGAAAGCACCCTTCTCAGATCCTCTTAAAAGAGGAACAAGAAAGTAGCAGCACCAAGGGCAGGTGTTAAGTGTGTATTTCCTGCTTGAATGAATACTGTGCTCATCACACCACCTCCCTATGCACAGCTGGATAAATGCACCTTTCTTCCTGCTGCTCCTACCAGTCAAAAATGGACCATTACTCCCCAAGAAGATCCCACTGTATTTCTGCTGTAATAGAAATCTTAGTTTAGCTGCAACATCCACTCTTGGGAATCCTGGACAACCAAGGGAACCTGGAGCTGGCAAATGGAGAAAAGGGGGGCTGTAACTCTCCTCCTTCTCCATTTTGATATTATGGTCAAATTGCTGTCTTCTTTATAGGTCTGTATCTTTCCACCAGCGGGATGAGGATTACACAGGAACTCCTCCATTGTACGTGTAAGGGATTATTATTAACAACTGTTTCTAAATGATTCGTTTGCTAGAGCTCTGCAAACAACTTTGCTCTGGCAGCAAAAGCGTGAAGGGAAATCCAGACAAATGGAATGAAACCCTAAAATACTATGCATTCCTCTCACATTGCTTCTTACAAAAAGGTTCCACTTCTGAGGCCAAAAACCTTGCTGTTGAAAAAGATACTTTTTTGAGGAAGTCTACAAAAATATTCTGTGTTGGTTATCTCCAGTTTTCAATGTTTTTTTTCAATGGTACAAGTCCACTCACAACAACTTTATTGCCATCTGTGGCAAAATGCCAGAGCCCAGTTTGAATTCCTCCAGTACCTGTTTTTTTTTCTGTCCCAAGATTTTCATTCAATACCACACAGCAATTTTCCTCATCTGCTTTCTGATATGTGGATGCACAACACATGCCCTGTACATACTCATATTTGTGAGTGTGTGCATTTGCTTTAACAGAGAAACTTGAAAATGTGTTTACTTATAGCAGATATTTGACACTGTTTTGTCTTAATGGTCCAGCCTGTATTTTTGATTCTTGCAAAATAAAACATAACTGGGGGGAGTCAGTTGTAAAAGGCAACAAATGAAAGGAGCAGAAATGTTCAGAGGCTTACTAACAAAACCCTGTCAAAGAGTTCAGGCACATGAATGAAAACACTGAGCTCTTCCTAGAGAACTCATTCCAGACTCAGAAAGTGACACAAGCAAAGTGGGACAGCTGTCTTCACTTTAAGAAATAGCCATCAGCTTCAAACCCAGAGGTCAGCCTGTCTCCTGGTGTAACTGCAGCCATTGCCTGGACACTTTTTATTCTATTTATGAATTCAAAGGTGGCATCTCCCCCTCCTCCTCTAACAGTCACATTTTACTGTCTTTCCACATTGGGATTTCAGAGATGGCCTTCATGGCTGCTGGTTTTGAGTGACTCACTGGGAAGACCAAGGCTATAAGGAACAAGTGCTACTGGAGCAACTGGTGCCCAGGACAGGGTCACTGCCTGAGTGGCCCGCTCTGGCCACCTGCTCTGCAGCCCAGCCAGCAAACACAACAGATGCTTCTCCCTGGCTCATGTCTGCCTTCCCTATGGCTCTGAAGACACTTGGAGCAAAGGCATGAGCTTGCTGTGGGTGCTGCCTTTGGCAGCTCAGCAGGTAATATCTAGCAGAGAGACAGAAAGGGCATTGAGAAGCAGTAAAATTCAAAAAGCTTTTGCAGACTTGGCTGGCAAACTGGGAAACCCTGACCTTACTGCCTGGGGCAGACATGTGGACCTGTGTGTACTCCTCCTATTAAAAAAAAGGGATTACCTCCTTCACTTCCCAGATTCTTACAGCTAGGGTTGGATTAAAAACAGAATTCACTTCCCCAAAGCCAATTTCACAGTTGCAAAACATGTTTTCATCCCAAAATTGGGCAAAGAAAGCCTGTTTTAGATCCTTTTTTCCACTAAAAAAAATTTGCAAAATACTCTGTTGAAATGTTCCTTTTTTGATGAGTGAGAGTCTCTGCTTAAGTCCTTTGTATAAAATGATAGCAAAACATTGACCTCACTGGAATGAAGTGCCACGATCACCCACTGATGGAAATTTTGACAGGATCAATAGATTCCTGTGAAACTGTTCAATTTTGTTGAATCAGCAAATACAAATCAGAGCTAGAACAAAACTCTGACCTTATTGAAACATTCAGATGTGTCAATGGCTCATCAAAAGTGTTAACAGATCAATAGATTCTTGCAAAACACTTGATCCTGCTGTTTCAACTGCTTTCCAACAAGCTGCAGGTGGGCTGTGTGAGCAGGTGGCTGGAGTCCCATCCTTGGGACTCCCTCTCCCTGTTTACATGCAGAGCACAAGCACAGCCAAGCTGGCTCTCTACAGTGTCACCTTCTCAGGTGAGGGCTGAGCCCCAGCGCCCACCACATCCCAGCCAGCCCCTTCCTCCAGCTGCCAACCACTTCACAATCAAGCTCACAAGCTCTCTTTGTTCTCTATTGCTTTATCTGCTCCACCAAATAAATGAGTAAGTGAAAATCCCAGAAATTCTAAAATTTCCCTTCATTCCCCTCATCTTCTGCTGACAGACTTAAGGAATTCTAAGATTCTGCCTTGAGTTCAAGGAACACTCCACTTTCTGGGTGCCTTTTTTAAAGCCATCAGCCTTGTGGAAGTAGCTGTGAACTCTTGCTGGATCCCCTCCCATGATCACTGCCTTTGGCCATGCTGATCTTTAGGAAGCTCCAAGGAGCTGCCCACATGACAGACCTGCTTGGGGGCACAAAAGCCCCTTGTGACAGCTCTGCTGTCCCCACCCCATGTCCTGGGGCAGAGGACAGTGTGCCTAAGCCCTGACTGGACATGCTCAAGGCTTGCTTGCCTCTAGCACTTGCCAGAAGGGTGCTCCAGCATTTCCAGCCAGACAAATCAGACCTGGAGGTTATGGTCAATGGACAAAACAAAACAGGCACAGCCTTTGGGTTCACCAGAGAGTAATCTTTCATTTGATACCAAAGCCCAAGATAAATCTTTTTTCCAGAGGTCATTTCTCCATTCCTAGACGCATGTTTGTGGGGAAGGTTTAGACTTTGAAAAGGAAAACCAAGAACTAAGCTGGCTTCCAGATATCACTGCAACAATGAAAAGCAACATCTTGAATCATTACCTAAAAGACTTCACAAAGGCAGAAGTGATTTGCAGAACCAAATAGTGACACACAGCTCTGATTTCCTCTTTGCCTTGAGTCACGCTTTACATTGGTTTTCAGTGCTGATGTGGGACTCAGTTTACCCATTTGCAACTCATTTTTACCTCTCCTCTCAAACCAAGCAGCATCGAATCCTTGAAGGTCACAGTCAGGCTTGTGCCACACTGAAAACTGAAAAGTTTTCTTGCATCTAATAGAAAGTTTCATGGCCAAATGAGATAAAAGGAGAAGCAAAGAAGAGGATGCTGCAAGACCCACCCACACAAAAAGCAATCATTTTGACCCTCCAGGCCCTATAGAATCAAGCCTTTGTTATCTCAAGATGAGTTTACTGAGTTTCATCACAGCAGGGACCAAGTTCAGTGCTCAAACCAAAACACCCAGGTTTTCAAGAACAGTTAAAAGAATAACATTACACTGCAGAGAAAGAGATCTTATTTCCTGAAAATCACATACTCTCTCCATCCCTCAGTCTGTCAAGGATTTGTGCTAAGACTGAAAGTTTTAGTGATGGCTGTGTCCAAACACAACTTTTCTGGACTGGATTTCACTTTCACTGCTGTAACAACCTGACAGCCCAACAGTGTGGCTACAACAGCCTCTCCCTGGGGTTCCAATAGAAAGCTGTATTCACAGCCCCCCATACATGCACTGGGGGAAATTTCCTGTCCCCTCATCTCCAAGAAAGAAACTCCTCTTCAACCCACCATGCTTTACCCAAGTCTCATCATTATGAGCTCTACTTTGGAATTAGGGACTCAATCCCATCACCATCACAACCCCTTTGAAGATGAACTCTACACCTGCATTTACAGACCAGACCAAGAAACAGCTGTCTCCTCTGAACTTCAGATATTACCCACAGCCTGAGGCTCACTGGAACATCCCTGGCCTGTTCCTCAGCTCCATCCTACTCCACGCTGCCAGGTGACACAGGGATGTAACACCAGCTACAGCAGCCACATCAGGATGCACTGGGGCAGCCACCACTCCAGGCATCTTCCCAACTCTCCCAGATGTGCCTACTCCTTTTTTTTTTTTTGCAGTTTTCCTTCACCTCCCTCCCCTCCATTCAACAACACATCACCACCACAGCCAGACTACGTACTCCCGTTGTCCTGCTACTCCTTCTTAACATGCTGTCAGGAACTGCTGGTCCTTAAGAAAGATCCTTAATTGTTGGTTCTTAAGAGAGAGGTGAGCTGAGGACACTGAGTACATGGCTGCCAATGGAACAAACGAGACTCACTTTCTATCCAAAGGGAACATACTTGTCTCAGGGGGAGAAAAGGACATTAACCTGAATTTGTAAATACAGGTCTGGGTTTGCTGTTGGCTGTTTTTTTTTTTTTAGAAGATCTTTTTATCTTTATTGACACATTCACTTGTCCAGACAGAGCAAAAACATTTCTCAGCTGAAAAACTGGACTCATAAAAGCAAAGCAAACAATCAAAATAATAAAAAAAAAAAAATCCCCAGTCAGTTTTGTAATTACCAGGATATCCAGTAAGCTCAACTTTCCAGCCACTTCGCTGTGACACACAGGTCACCTCCCTTATTCTTGTGTTTGTACCTGGGTGCAAAGCACAAGGAAATGCAGTTGGAAGCACAATACTCAAAGCACCATCTGGATGCCTGCCTCGTTTGTCTGTGTGCTCCTATCTTATTTAAAAAGCCAGACAGATCTCAACAAGACATGGGCTTGGAGAAAAACAAAAAATGTGAAGTTTGCAACTTTGCAAGGAGGAGTAAAGATACACTAAAACACTATCATCTGATTAGAAGTGGAAGCCTTGCTTCCAGATAGATTTGTGGAAGGTAAGTCTTGTCTTTGAAAGATGCAGAGGTAAGAAGGGAAGCTCATGAACCTACACAGCATCCTTACACTGGACTATGTTTAAGGTATGTCCTCCACGGAATTACAGGGCTGTGTTTCCATTCCCACATGTGTGGGAGGGCACTCTAACAGGCAGGTAGGCATTTGGGTGAGGAGACTGGGTAAAGTGTTGGAGAATTAAAGAAAAAAGTTTGTGTGAGGGATGAGAAGAGCTGCCCAGCCCTGCCCTGCCTGCAGGAGACAGGCAACAACAGGCAGCAGGGCAGGGGAAGGTGCCAGGGAAAGCCTGCCCTGCAGCCGGCACCCAGGAGCCGCTCTGCCTCCAGGCAGAACCAAAAACGGGCCTAGGCACCCAGAACTCTGAGCAAGCCTCGACTCATCCTTGCAGCCACCTAGGCAAAATTAAAAACAAAGCGGGGAGAAACAGAGCACCAAGCCCTACACCTGATGGGGCTGCGGGTACTTGGGCAGAGAGCCGTGTTTCTGGAGCAGCCAGGATTAGGATGAGGAGGATGGTAAAATAAAGGAGATAAAGAAGGATGTTGAGGAGAAGGAGAAAAATGAGGGGAAGATATAGGAAGATGAGAAGATGCAGGAGGATAAGATGAAGGAGGTCGAGAAGGAGGAGGAAGAGGAGGGCTCCTCGGCTGCAGCGTGCAACACTGCCGGGTCTGTCATCATCCTCCAGCGGCGGGAGGGCGGGGGAAGGAGGGGAGCGGGGCGGCCTCACCTGATGAGGTCGAGGAAGGAGTCCACCGTCTCCTTGCTCTTGGGTAGCGCGCCCGGCAGCCCCAGCTGGGTGTTGAGCGCGGAGGCACCGGCGCCGGGGCGAATGATGAAGCCGAGGGCGACGGCGAGGCCGGAGGCGAGCAGCGTGGTGCCCAGGAAATAGGCGAGCGCGATGCCACCCAGGCGGCCGAGCGAGCGGGTGTCCAGGCTGGCGGCGCCCGACACCAGGCTGCAGACCACGAGCGGCAGGATCACCATGCGCAGCATCCGCAGCAGCAGCTCCCCGGGGAAGGCCAGGTAGGAGACCTGTGCCGGGCCCAGCGCCGCGCCGCGCACGGCGGCCCCCAGCGCCACGCCGGCCACCACCCCCGACACCGTCAGCAGCACCAGCGCGTTCCGCCGCAGGAACCCGCGGCATCCCCGCAGCCGGGCCGCGCCGCCCCGCCGCTCCTCCGCCGCCGGGCCCTCGGCATGGCCGTTCCGGCCGTGGCCCGCCTTGCCCTCACCCGCCGCCGCTGCCTCCTCCATGCTGCGCCGAACAGCGGCTCCTCGTGTGCCGCTACCGTGCGGCGCTCCAGGCACGGACTGAGCGGCGCTCCCGCCCCGCCCAGGCCCGGGAGCGGCGCCGGCCCCGCCCGGGGGAGGGAGCGCCCAGCCCCCGGCCCGCCCCGTGCCGGCCCGGCGCGGGCTGGCTCCGCGCCATCGCCGCCTCAGGGCCCGCGCTGCCCCCCCGCGCCCGGCCCGCCGCCGTGAGGCCCCTCCGCGTCCTGAAGGCCTCCTCAGTGTCCCCGCGGTGTCCCAGGGATCACGCGTGTCTCCCCACGGTTTACACATATCCCCATCGGTGTCACAGAGCTAACAAATGTCTCCACAGCGTCCACCTTCTTGTCCCTGTGGGTCACACTTGTCCTCCATTTCCCCCCTCAGCATCCCTACTGTTCGTACACACCGCTGTAGTGTCCCCATAATTCACACGTGTTCCCTCAGTCACGTCCCTTCAGTGTTCTAGGTCTCACACATGTCCCCTCTGTTCGAATCCATGTCCCCTTGGCTCACACGTGTCCCCTCATTGTCCCCCCTCAGTATTATCATGGTTCATACACACCCCTGCAGTGTCCCCATAGTTCACACATGCCCCCTCAGTGTCCCTACAGCTCACACATGTCCCTCTCCATGTTCTCGTGGTTCAATCATGTCCCCTCAGTGTGCCCGTGGCTCACACACGTCTCCCTCAGTGTCCCCATGGTTTGCATACCTCCCCATCAGTGCTCCCACAGCTCACCTGTCCTTTCAGACACCCCCTCAATGTCTTCACAACTCACACATTGTCCCCATCAGTGGGGTTCACTTGTGCCCTCAGTGTCCCCCTCTCCTCTCTGAGAACCTCTCATGGAGGCAGGAGCCATCCTCTGCACCAGGACAGGTTGTGTCTGTGTCCCCTGTCTACACGGTCGAAGCCATTCAGCAGGTCCATGGGTTCATCCAGGGCAGGGTGACGTGGACACAGGGACTCTGAGCACCCTTCCTTGAGGAAACCCATGTCTCACCACACAAGCTGGTTGTCTGAGGAGAAGACAATATCTGTGATGGTGCGTGGGGCTGATAAAAGGCACTTGGGGCTTTCAAAAGCACAAGAGCCTCATGGGTGCACTAGTGTCATGTTTGCTCACAAGGGCACTTCCAGGAGCTCCAGCTGGTGTTTGGACTCGGTCAGGGGCTCCATTTCAGCTCATTCCCTTGACATCAGCAAAGCACAGCCTAGCAGAAAACACGCTGTGAAAACAGCCAGGCACACATCTGCTTTTTGAGTAGACTGCACTAATTAAGGAGACTGACAGGGTATGATGCAACAATAATCCCGATTTAATAAGACTTTTCTGTTTTCCAGTCTTATGGATAGACCTGAAGATTGCTATACCACGGCTGGAGCTCCTGGCAATTTTCTGTGTGTAAATAGGTAACACCACTGACAAGCAGTTGTGTACACTACCATCCACTTTAGACCTTGATGAAAATTCTTGATTTGCTCTTGCACTGAAATTAGAGTCACGATACCAGCACGTTGTTATTGATTTTGTATTTTTTTCCCTGATAACTTTCCCTTTGAGTAACACTTGGTTTGTGGAAGTCTGTGAATCAATGTCCCATCAAATCAACAGATGTAGGAAACAAAGACTAAACAGGGAAACAAGTGTCTGCAAACACTTTTAAATGCATACAATTCCACAAACCTCAAAAGGAACAAAAAATAATGTAGATCTTTTTAAATCGGGTTTGAATTTTTTTCTGCAAATAGGTTTGTGAATAATAAACAAGCTACTGTCTGACCTAATTGTTTCTTTCTCCATCAGAAGCATTTCTAAAATGGTTTTAAATTAACATTTTCAGAAAATTCTTTGTGAAAATGTCATGCTTCATTTTTTCCCTGCATTTTTCCCTGCCGTTCTCTCCTGATCTCACCTTTTTTTCTTTCAATTTACCCATGAAAAGGGAAAGAGAAAGCAGAAAATAAATTACAACAGAAAATTATAAAATAAATATAAAAATATGGAAATCTATTCCTTGTTTCAGTTGAGAAAAGATTCTAAAACCAAACAACAAACACAAATGCCGTTCCCTTGTGCAAACTGAAAGCAAGGGGAGAAATTCAGGAAAGTGTGAACAAGAAGAATGTATTAAATCAGAAAACTCATTGATAGCAGCACATGTATGAGACCAGTGCAAGAACCAACACAGAACCTTTTCCACCATATGACAGTGGACTCCTCTCTTGGAGTATCCCGCCATGTCCTTGTGGGACTGACCTTGCTCAGAGCAGTGCCATGAGAACAGCCAGGGCGCCTGCAGGAACACACACCTCCTGCAGAACTGTAGATCCCACTGAAAGTTCTTGAACCCATGCTGAGGCTGTTTGGTGATAGCCAACCCTTCCAAAACAACACTTTGACATAGGGATGCTGGTGTCAAGCTTCCTCATCAATGACACCATGAGAATTCCCCCTAATTTCCCCTTCCTTTTTTCCCCTCTCGTGATTGTTTGATTCAAATACTGATCCAAACTGTTATCCTTCCTCCTTGACATATCCCCAGATGACAATGCTTTTGCCAATGAGAAGACAACAGAGCACATGAACCTCCCACCATACAAATGGACATCATCCCAAAGATGTTGTAGGCAAAGCTAGCTGGTTTTCCACCCTGTGAGAGTTCATGGATGGCTGCAGTGATTAACCCTGAAGCCCGCTGGCTTATTCAGTAGTAATTGTTGACTGATCCATTGTGTCATGTTTTCATTTCAGCGCTTGTAGTTCTTGGGAGCTTTCCAGTGAGTGAGTCTGCATGTTTCCAATGCCCACCCCACTGGTGCTTCTAAATTAGGGATTTTGACTTTCGCTATTGGAACTTGAAGATTCTTTTTTTGGCTTAAGTGGCTTTCACCTGCATAGGGCTAGAGTGCTTCCTCCAGAAATCAGCAGAGGGATCATGAACAGGCAACAACAACAACAAAACAACCAGAAAAAAAATTCCAGTTACTTTTAAATATTTTTTTTAAATCCTTTTGCTTTCAGTGAAAAAACAGCCAGTATAGTTTTCACCACTGGCCCAAAAGGAAGATGTCATGCTGTCTTCCAGTCAAATTCAACTTGACACCAGTTTTAGATGGTGGTATTTGAAATTCTGTCCTCAGTGTAAGGGATAAAAAAATCTTAATGGCTGTAAGAGAACCAGGTCCTTCCCTTCTATGTTTCATCTGCACATCAGTGCAGATGGATGCTTATAATAACACACTGGAAATGTAGGATTTTAATGCCCTGAGGAAACAGAGGTGATTGTTTTTCACACCTGCGGAAGGTCAACACAAAGACTGGAAGAAATTAGATTTTAATTTCTTTGCTAGGGGAGGAGAGGAAGGCCTTCAAAGAGCTGTTTGTAGCTCCCTGAGTCTCATGCCTGATACACACAAGTCTCAGCAGCTGGCACAGGTTAGAGTAGCCCTCAGGCCACATTTCCTACAAACCTGCATAGCAGCAGGAGTGCAGAGAACACTCATTTGCCACCTCCGCTTTCCCCATCTTCCTGCTGCTATTTCCCTCTTCCTAAGACTGGCAAGGTCATCTGCAGCTTTTTCCTTGGGTCTGGCTGCTGTTTGCTCTCTGCTCTTGGGAGACCCAAGAGAAACATCAGCAGGATTCCAGATAAGTCATCCATCAGTCACCTCCTGCAACTGCTTTGATTTGAAGTAGTTTGAAGACTGGTGCCTCAAAGGCATGGTGGGGAGGAGGGAACAAGATGAAAGAGAAGAGGGCAGGAAGGGGTTGCATTTCATAGCCATGTTTTTCAAGAGAAGCCTGAATAAAGGTGCTCCCAAACTTCCCAACGGAGATGTGCTGGGCAGCCTGCAGTGTCCTTAGGGGCTGTATTACAATGTGGCCTTTTTCTGAGGAGGATTCACAAAGAGCACATGGGAGAGATCTTGTTTTCTACTGAGCAAAATGAAGTCCTCAGAAGAGCCACAGCACATGAGCTGAGGCAGGAAGGCCTAGAGCACTTTCTTGGTATGCAGACTTTAGTTTGGCAAGAAGACTTTGCTGGGCCTGGGATGCCAAGCAATTTGGACAGACTCCAGCCCCATTGAAGAAAACCTCTCCGCCTGCATCTGGGAGGAACATGAGATGTGCTCCTCGGCTCTTCCCAATGCCTCTGGCCTGATCACCTCATTGCAAGCTGGATGCAGGACCAGCCACCCATGCATAGTTACCTGGATTTACCAGAACAAGCTAGATTTCAAGACATCTGAAACCACAGAAAGAACCCCCCTGGCCTCCTGTGATGACAAAACCATAGAATATTGCTCTGGTCCTGCTCCATTAAGGTTCCTGGCCAGCAACTGAAATAACACAGTCCCAAACACAATCCTACCACAGCGTCACATGTTGATTCAGCATTTCTCCAGGCTGGGTAAGTGCTCACACCTGATCAAAAATATTCTGAGTAGGAAAAAATTCGTCGTCTGTAAATGCATTTTCTAATAGCAGAGGCAGACAAAGAATTTTGCAAATACCACTTGCTTGCCCAAACTCCAACAAAATATAAACTCTGCAGACAGGGATGGTTGACCTAGGGTAAATATTTAACTTTATCCTTCAAAGGCACATGCAGTTTTACCAGAAAGAAGATGAAAAATATAGAATAATACACACACATACCTTGTTTACTCTAAGGATCTTTTGATGGCTCTGGAAACAAAGTTGTACTGAGGCAAGAGTAATTTTTAAACTTTGTGTGTTGTTCCCTTTTTCAAAACTATCATAATATGAAAACATGAAGAAAAACCAATCACCCCCCAAGAATAGCAGAATTTTTTTCCTTCATAAGCTCTCCCTGAGGTTTCTCTTTGAGTTTAAATCAAGGAAAAGTAGTAGAAAAAAGGGCAAGAACAAGAACAGACATTCAAGATCTTAGATATGTGACAACCTGTCCTAGCAGGGGACATTGCCTCTAGCTGGTGGGGGAAATTTAGGGTCAGGCTTTTCAAAACAAGCTGGGCTGATCTGAAAACAAGCAATGAAGCTTTGCTACTGAAGAGGCAAGGGAA